AGCCACTTGGAACTGTTGGCTTGATACCTTGCTTATAGTTCCCAGCAACCTCACCAGCTGAGTAAAGAATGTCACTTGCTGGCAGGAGCAGGGACCTCAGGAAGACGAATTCACCCAAATCTACAGGTGCTGCAGGCGGGTCTGATGGCAAGTACTTGGCTCGGCTTCAGGCTTGGAGAGGCTACTAAAAGTTCAACCTAGAGATTCCTTATAAAAAGTTTTTCAGCAAAGCAGATTCTAAAAGATCAACATGATCTATCATTCTTGCTGAGCTTATGGAAATAGGCCAAGTTTGTTAAAACTGGACTTGTTTTTCAAATAAATTGGTCCCGATTTGGCTATCTCTGGAAATGAGGGCTATTTTAGAGAAAAATTGTTCAAATAACCTACCTTTGCAGATGTTAAATCCTAGTTTTGATTGTCCTTAGTTGTTAGCTTATCCTGGACAAGTTGAGGTAAATGTTACAGAAAGCTTTTCTGTTTCTATACAATAGCTCATGTGTAGAGCATCTTGCTTGTTAACTCTGTGGGGCTAATAACAGGACCCCCCATAGGCATGATTATCCAAACAACTGGAAAATGGGATTGATTGTCCAACAATTGTATAACTTGCTATCCCCTTGACCAGTTCTACATGGCTGGGATGATGAAATCATTCTCTAAAAGCTAGAAGCATACCCCACTCTATCGGGTTAACTATGGACTTATGGAGAAAATGGATGACCCCACATCTTCATGACTGGATTGGATGGTGCACTTGCGAACCCCCTTACCTCCTGATGATTTTTTTCCCACTTGCCAGTGATGCTTTGTAATTAGGATATTTGTTAAGGCTGGAGGCTGGACCTCAAACAAAAAGGGCTTCTTAATGGTTTCATCCCTTAGTAATATTTATTCTAGAAGTCCCCCCTCTATTGAGGTATGACTGCAAACAAAGCTTTAGCTAAGCATATAACAGTGCTCCTGGTAAAAGGAGCCTCAAATTATGGGACAGTCCTGACTCTAATGACTTCACATCAGGTCCAGAATTTCCTAGAGACCAAAGGCCACCAGTAGATGACAGGAGGCAAACTTACAGAATACCAGGTTATCCTTATAGATATACCTGAAATAATACTTGAAACCTGTCAGACTTTAAACCCAGCTACCCTTACCTCTGGACGTCATAGCTTCTATAGAGCATAACTGTTCAGAGGTTACAGATCTTGTTTATGCTAATCGACCAGATTAAAGATGCCCCTATTGAAAATACAGATGACAGTTGGTTTACTGATGGCAAGCCTAGTTTTAAGTTTCATGGAAAAAGGAATAAGAAAAGCTGGGTATGCTGTAGTGTTCACTTGGTGCTTTGCAATTCACCAAAGCCTTAAAAATTAATCTTTATACTGACTCCAAATATGCCTTTCCAGTCTTAACATGTCCATGAAGCAATTTAAAGAAAAGGAGATGATTACCAAGCTGTAACTCCCCAGTCAGATATGGGCCTGAAATTATTATACATGTAAAGAATGGCTCTCCAAAATGGCCATTGAAATCTTGACTACCCTGAAAGGCCCAGTATCACATGACTGGCTCTTGGCTGAGACCCAGTGGCTAAGTGACTAACTTGTGGCCATGGCTTTCCCCCAGGCTGGATAGGCCACTGTACTCTGAGTTCTGCCGGAATGCACAGACACATTATTAAAACCATTACCAACCCAGCCCCTTCCAAATTTAAATGATTAACACATTCTATGTCTCATTGGTATGACCGACTAACATCCATTTTCATTCCCTCTTGGGGACTGGAGGGTATTTGGCCCATGGAAACTCTTAAGTACACTTAGGTCAATGTCCTAAGTGACACCAGAAAGAGCATTTCTCTATTAAATAATTAAACACAAGAGTGTGAAGCAGTTGTATGAAATAGAATGGCATTAGATGTTTTAATCTAATGCCTGTAACACAAGGTGGAAATTGCGCTATCACAGAAACAAAATACTATGTATATGTTCCAGATCATCACAAAATACTTCTGGGCTTCTGACATTACCCGAATTGGCATTTTATTTATTTATTTATTTATTTTTAAAAGATTTTATTTATTTATTTGAGAGAGAATGAGTGAGAGAGAGCATGAGAGAGGAGAAGGTCAGAGGGAGAAGCAGACTCCCCAAGGAGCTGGGAGCCCGATGCGGGACTCGATCCTGGAAGTCCGGGATCACAACCTGAGCTGAAGGCAGTCGCTCAACCCACTGAGCCACCTAGGTGCCCGGCACTTTATTTTTTTAAAAAGATTTTATTTATGGGGCGCCTGGGTGGCTCAGTGGGTTAAGCCTCTGCCTTCAGCTCAGGTCATGATCTCAGCGTCCTGAGATCTAGCCCCGCATAGGGCTCTCTGCTCAGCAGGGAGCTTGCTTCCCCTCTCTCTCTGCCTGCCTCTCTGATCTCTGTCAAATAAATAAATACAATCTTTAAAAAAAAAGATTTTATTCGTTATTTATCAGAGACAGAGTGAGTGAGGGAACACAAGCTGGAGGAGAGTGGAAGACGGAGAAGCAGGCTTCCCGCCAAGCAAGGAGCCAGATATGGGGCTCCATCCCCATCCTGGGATCATGACCTGAGCCGAAGCAGATGCTTAATGACTGAGCCACCCAGGTACGCCTCAAATTGGCCCTGGAAATAGTCCCCGTCTCTCCCCTTTAATGATTAAACTCCTGAACTAGAAAAGGATTTTTTGTCAACCATCAAAGGACTCTTTCTTGAGCTTTTTGTTAAACTAACCACGTTCTGCTGTTTTCTCCCCTATGTGTCTCCACCTGGTGTCTAGAACTCTTCACTCCCGTAACTTCAGACAGATGGTCCTTTCTACTCTGGAAGACCCACTTCATCAGTCTCTCCTGGACTCAGCTGCCTCTGACTTTAGCAACTCCTCCGTATATCAAGTCCTCAACTGACCCATGTTGACCCATAGGCAGGGACGTCTCTATGCCCCTATTCAGCAGGAAGAAGTTAACAGAAGATGAGACCATCCACCTTCAAACTTGAAATACTTAAGGGTCAAAACTGTTCAGGGTAGAATGCTGAGGGAGCAGGAGCCTGGCTGAGGACAAGCACAAGCTGCCACCCTACACCCGCCCCCCAACCCCTCAATTCTAGGGTGGGACTTGTGTGGCACCCTTCCAGGAAGTTCCCATCTATCTTAATGTTAATGCCTTGTTAGAGGGGAAAAACAACCTTAATGTGCCAAGAGCAAGGCCTCTGGTATCCTGTAGGTCCTCTTCAGCATATGAAAGTCTTTTGAAACCTTCCTTTTTCCTTAACTCCCACAACCCCATAATATATAATCAGCCACCTGTACAACCCCAGTGCAGCAGCTTGTTCTGGCCACCGGTTTTGTCCATGTGCTTTAATAAACAACCATTTTGCACCAAAGATTTGTCTCAAGAATTCTTTCTTGGCTTTCAGCTTTGGACTCCACCCCATTAAATGTTCCCTGTATTCCAAAACCCTATCACTGGGAGGCCAGACCTCACCCTGAGAGCAAGATTTTCAGGATCAAAACATAGCTATGGAAAAAATTAGTACATGGGAAAATATTAGCACATGTGTGGTGGGGAGAGGAGTTAGTATAGACAAAATCATGAAGCATTAATTGTATGGTGAACTGAGGAAATGGAGTGTTTTGGGGTGGGTGGTGGAATTATTTCTACTTTTCCAAATAGTTGGGAGGAAGCTCCAGCCAGGGTATTGAAACGTTTGGAAAACTTAGTAATGTTGTTTTTTTTTTTTTTAAGATTTTATATATTTATTTGACAGAGAGAAAGACACAGTGAGAGAGGGAACACAAGTAGGAGGAGTGGGAGAGGGAGAAGCAGGCTTCCTGCTGAACAGGGAGCCCCATGTGGGGCTCGATCCCAGGACTCTGGAATCATGACCCGAGTTGAAGGCAGTGGCTTAACCCACTGAGCCACCCAGGTGCCCCAGTAATGGTTTTATACATAGGTTTGAGATTAATATTGATTACCTAGCCAGGTACTTTACACAAATAATGCTTCGTGGCCATCCATAAACCACTTAAGGGGAGGGAGGGCTTTTAGAGATGAGTCCACAGGCTCATAGAATTTAGGCATAGTTAGCTAGTGCATTTTCACTTCTAAACGAAATGACCTACGTGATGTCCAGTGCTGGGCTCACCAAAGTACCTTGTACCAGACGGCCTTTGGAAATGAAAGGGGAAAGATGGCTTCAGGTAAGTGAATTTAGCTCGTGATGCATGCATGACACTTAACCCACACGCAAAGCTAAGGATGAGCCATCACCGCGCCTCAAACCCAAGGGCAGGCTCGGCTCATCTCACAGCCATGGTACTGAAACCCTCGGAGATTGAACCTTGAGGGTAAAAATGCATTTACTATACACTTTGCATTGCCCTAATAGGCTGAAAAATCACCGTGAACACCAGATTGAGAGCGGCTGACTTTAAGATTCAGTTCCTGTACACCTATCACTCAGGGAAGGGGTTAAAATTATGCCCTCTACCATCATTTCCCCAATTTGTAAGTGGAGCAAGCAGGGCGAGGGAGGCTGAAGGGAGAAACGAAGAGAAGCGAACGAAGGATCCGGGGACCAAGGACGGAGAGGATTTGGGATGAGATTCGGAGCCTGGCTTCGAGGATACCGGGTGTAAAATTTCGCATACAGGGCTAGGCAGAACCAGGCAGAACGCCGGGGAACAAAGGCTGAAAGTGTTACGGGCTGGGCAAGTTTAAGGATCAGAATGGGAGGAGAGAGTGCGGGGTTATCAGCCTGCGAGCTGGCGGAGCGTGGAGGAACCCGGCTCCCAGCTGCAGTGGGCTCCGACCACACCAGCGCTGAGCCGGGGGGCGGGGACGGAACCTTGCCTGGAGCCGCCCGTAGGCCCGCCCCATGGGCGGGGCTGTCCAGGCGGTTACATAACAAACCTGTACGAGCGGCTGGGGAGCGGCTCGGGCGGTGGCGGCGGGGGGCGGGGTCTGGGCGGGGCAGGGGCGGGGCCAGGCCTGCACCGGGCCAGGCAAGATGGCGGCCATGGAGACCCAGTCAGCGCCGCTGACCCTAGAATCGCTGCCCACCGATCCCCTCCTCCTCATCTTATCCTTCTTGGACTACCGGGACCTAATCAAGTAATGGGACGACGCGCATGGCAGGGGTGGGGTCACGGGGCGGGGGGGAGACAGGCAGGAGGGACGGAGGCCCGGCTCACCGACAGGACCCAGACTCCCGCGTCAGCCAGAAGGTGACGCCCGGGCCGCCCAGATCCTGCGGAGCCACCCCGGGGCCTGGGCGAGACGGGGGCGGAAAGGGCCCCGCCTTTAGGTCTACCTCGGGTCCAGGGCCTGGGCCGGAGGAGCGACGAGGATCCTCTCTCCCAGGCCTCAGCGAGGCCCAGTTGTAAGGTGGGGAGGCACTGCTCCCCTATGCCGCCCCGCCGAACCGGTGCCCACCGCACACCGTCCCGCTGGTCTCCGCCGGATCTGGCCCAGACCTGGACGCTTTGGAAAAGCCTCTGTCCCGGCCAAGCGCTCTTTTCCGCTGGGGCCCGGGCCTGCGGAGTCGGGTGCCGGAGCGGGCAGGTGGGGCGCCCGAGAGAAGGAGCCCGGCGACCCCCTGACCCTCAGGTGCGACTTCCGTGGCCCCATAATATCTAGCAGGGCTCACTTTCGGACATCAGTGCTTGATCATTGTTTTGCTGCCAGCCTTATTCCTCACGGTTGCATGTTGGATTTTGTGTTTTGGTAGTGATTTCCGGTGGTGCGATACAGGTGACTCTCTTCTCTCCCGTACGTTTTGGGTTTCCCACATTACTAGCATCCGTTCCAAAAATAAACACCGGTTGCTGGTAAGGGTGGTTAAATGCCCAGTTCCTTCAGTTCTCGGCACTGTATGGTGGAAGAAATGGCGCTGTTTACACCCTTGACAGCTGGTGGCATGGCTGTGTCTTTCTTGTGCCACCATGTATATTTGCAGAGGAGGCAAAATCGCCCTCTTAAGGATCGGTAGGCAAGATTCATTTCGTTTTGTTTTTTGGATTACCATTTGGATTTTAACCCTTTGATGATTGTGCCCTGTGTTATCAGAAATTCTTTTAGAAATACAGTATTCTTAGATTTATTGGTATTTGTTGGTTGGCCTAGCTAAGTGGTGATAGAGGGATAACCCCAGTTTCTGACTGCTGTTTATGTAGTACCTGTAACTTTTTTTTTTCTTTCAAGAAAATTGATTTTTCTCTCCTCAGGCTTGTACATAAAGCAGAGAAATAACATTTGTCTTTTCTTTGGAAAAGCCTGTTCCAAAAGCAGACTTTTCATCTGAAATATTTTCTCACTATGGCCCTTTAGGAATCTAACACACATAGACACATGTACCTTGCTGCCAGCGTGATTTTTCTAAGACAGATCTCTCTGCCAGTCCCCTTAAAAACCTATGATGCTCCTTGTTCTTTTACAAACTATAACCTAAACTTCAGGGAGCTTATCAATTTGGCAAAATCCACTCTAGCCAAATCAGACCTCTGTCAGCATACCACACACTTAGTTTTTTTGTTCTGTGGCTTAAGTTCTTGACCCTGTCTGTAATGCCTTGCCCACCTTTTTTCACCCTGGCAAGATGGAATTTCTTCCTTCTCCGGATTCTTCTCTCTTCTTCCTTCCCCTGTAGAGTTTATTTGCCATACCAGATAGATGGTGCACTTCTTAAAAGTAAAGACTGGCTTGTTTATCTTCGTATTCACCATTTATTCAGCAGATTTTTTTCAGTGCCTGCTATGTACCAGCTGATTAAATGTTGGGAATATAATAGTGAACAAGACAGATAAGGCCCCTTTTAGGAAGCTTACACTCTTGTGGGCAAGGTTGGAAAACAAAGTGCATAATTACAAGAGATGCTGTTTGTCATGAAGGAAATCAATTGCTCTGTAAAGGAATGAGAGAGAGGGATGATCAGTTCAAATTGGAAAGAGTTGCCATCTATGAAGGTTGGCATAGAGCAGTCCTGGCAGAGGGAACAGTGTGTTCAGAAGCTGATTGGACAGCAGCATAGCCAGGACGGGTGCTAGAATGCTGTTGCAGGAGGGTAAGGAGTGACTCACAGGCAGAGTGCCTTGAGAAGAGACTGATGAGATCATGCAGGACCCTGTGAGCCAAGAGGAGGGATATCTGATTTTATTTTAAATCCTTTGGATAGGAACCTCTTTGTTCTGTTCAGGCCCTCAGTGGATTGGATGAGGACCACCCACATTGTCCACCATTTCAAATGCTGATCCTTTCCTGAAACACCCTCACAGACACACAGAAATAATGTTTAACCCTCTATCTGGGTATCTCCTTGACCCAGGCAAGTTGACCCATAAAATTAACCATCACAAACATCATCAAATTTTATCTACAGAAAAGTTTCCAGTGGACTGCAACTTCTTTCCTGCACTGTACTGCTGCTCCCCTTTGCCAAATGTCCTTCCCATCACTGAGCTCCAAAGTTTTTGATACATATTTACTGACCTAGATCAGGTTGGGTTCCAGTAGTCTGTTGGGATCGTTGTGTAATAATCAGCTGCACAACATGGATCTCCCCCGTTCCAGGGTGACTTGTTGTATACTATTAATTCTTAACCCTTACTGTGTATCAGAATTACATGTGACAATTTTTTAAGCAGACACATACATGCCCGAGATACAGATCTTACCCCAAGCCAACCGAGTCAGAATGTCTAGAACAGTTGTTCTCACCCTTCATGTGCCTCAAAATCTCCTTTGGTGCTTATTCCAGAGATGATTTTTTTGTTGTTTACATCTTGGGACAGTAGAGAGAGGAGGATCAAGAAAAGAGGGAATGGACTTCAAATGGACAAAACTGGAAGGATTCCTATGTTTGCAAGTGTTTGTTTGGGTACATCCTGAGCTTGGCAGAAAAGGATGAGGATGATGTTTGTGAAATCTGAAAATCGAACGAAGGTTCTTTTGTTGTTACCATCAATTGGTTTTTAACATGCCCCAATTGTGGCATTGACAAATCCCATATAATTTAAGATTCACTTAATTGATTACCTATTGTCTAACTGAGATCTTTGAGTATTGACTTTCTATAACTTGTGATTCCTCTTCTGAGAGGATAGAGCCATTTTCCTAATCCTACGTTCATTCTTTTTGCAGATTAATTAGGTAGGGTAGGCATTACAGGACTGGAGCCCTATTGTATTAGAAATCTCTGTATAATAAGAAAATTATTTATTTCCAACATTCCATGATTTTGAGCAGCTGATACTAACTTGGATCACTACAGGTAGTGAGTTAGAACTATTGTGAATCTAATGTATTTTATAAATGGGCTCTCCAATAGTTGCTGTAATTAAGATTGATTTTGGCTGCAGTATTTTTTAAGAAAAAATTGGAATGAAACAGACAAAAGGCTTATGTATTTAATATCAAATATGTCACAGATCATGAAAAGAAAACTGTTTTGTGTACACTTGATTAACATTCTTTCCTGTATATGGAAATATCGTCCCAATAATAAGTGTAGGAAAACTCTTCGATTTGAAATTAACTCCAGTGGTTTATTTGTTTTATAGACTTTCATATGAAAATTACATTTGCAGAGGTTTTGGGGTTTATTTGTGAACTCAAATAGTTAAGATTTCACCACTCACAAAGTAATTATACTAGCTATCACGCTAAGCAGGTTTTAGAAAATACTGTTTTACAATTATAAGAGTAGAAAGTAGGAAATAAGAAGAGCAAAAGGAATGAAAGAAAACAACATTGAATATTTTCATCTTTATTTCTAAATTATTTTCTTATTTTCTTTTATACTAACCGTGAATCTGGTTATTGCCAGTTGTTGCTATGTCAGTCGAAGACTTAGCCAGCTATCAAGTCACGATCCGCTGTGGAGAAGACATTGCAAAAAATACTGGCTGATATCTGAGTGAGTATTCAGGAAATAATGTAATTTTGAAATTTGGCCCTTAGCTTTCATAACACTAGTCTGTCCCAATTCTCCTCTCTTACCCTTGTCTCTTTATCTCCTCTGATGGCTCTTCTTGTGCCTGCCAGTAAATGCTAGTGTTCTCCAAGCTTCCGTCCTTGGGCCACTACTTTTCTCCCTCTATGAATTCCGCATGCACTGTTGCCATTTATGGTGGCTGCTCACTTGTTCCTAACTCCCAAACCTGAATGTCCGTCCCTGAAATCCCCACCGAGCTCTTACACCCGCCTTCTGGACCTTTCCATTGGATGACTAACAAGGGCTTTCTGAGTTCAGTAAATGTTAATAACTTTGACAGAATCAAAGTGTAGTTGACAGAGGTGGCAATTGGGAAAGATGAAAGGAAAGGTAGGGTTGCCAGTATCTTTTTCTTAGATGGAGGGAAGTCAAGTAGTGACAAGTTGGCAAAGCAAGAAGTAGAGGTCTAAGTATATTATTTAGAGCTGCAAGCTACCTAATAGAACTAAATGTAACAGGGCTGTCAAACACTGGGAGAAGGAAGAATGGGGAAGAAGACATTTTAATTATTGCCATGAGCGGATCTTTTACTTTGGGGTATCAGCAGATAGATGTAAAATTGATAAATCACGTCTAAAGGCATGAACATCTAGAATTACGGACATAACTTGGAGTAATCACTAATGTTCCTTTGAGATGTTGGGCTTCGACTAGGAGACTAGCTGTTCATCATAAGTTTTTTGGTACTTTTTGGTTTTGATAATATGTATATATGTTACTTTGATTAATAAAAAGATGCTTCCCTTCCAACTCCTCCCCCTCCCTTTCCCCCCCACCCCTCCCCCCCCACCCCACCTCCCAGGCAAAACAACACTCTGAATTGTTCTTCTCACCATTCCTAAACCTGATCCTCTTGCATTCCCAGTCTTCTTGGCAGTACCATCTACCTGGGCATTTAAGCCAGAAATAGGAATTATCCTAGATCTCCTTTCCGTCCCTACACTCATTCAGTTATGAAGGCTATCTGATTTAGCCTCTGTATTTTTCTTGAATTTTCCTTCTCATTTCATATAGCTACCCGTTGTAGTTCAGTTCATCATCTCTTACCTGGACTACTCAAAACTGTCTTGACTCATCTCTTGTGCCTCTAGTTTACACACCTCCCAAATCACAACCACGATTCTGCTTTTTCTACTCCCCTGTTAAAACCCTTCAGTAGCTCTCCATTCCCTAAGGATAAGGTCCAACCTTATTAGCAGGATACCAGAAGGCCCTTTGTGGCTGCCTTATCCTATACCACTTCTGACTCTTAAATTGACTGTTCGTTCTTTTTCCCTGATTAGAATGTATGTATTTTTGAGGGGAAAAAATGTGCCTTATTTTTGATGTCCTCAATGGCTAAATAGACACTCAATAAATGTTTGTGGAATTGTACCAAATAGAGATACTAAATCATGTGATTACTGTGAATGCTATATGATTTCCTGGCTAATCCAATGCAGATAGATTAGTAGTATTATATCGTTAAATTCCGAATAATTTCTAAAATAGAACAACTACTTATGTGTTTTAAGCTTTATAATTGTATGCTTTAACCTATACAATTCACATTATATTTTATTAAGGATTTGAAAACTTAGGGAAAAGAATAAGTAGAAAGTAAGAAAATAGGTGATTTATAATCCCACCATGCCATCAATAACTCCTGTTAAGTTTTTTGATGTATATATCACTTTTGCTATCTAGTCTTCATTTGTAGCTAAACTAAATGAAAAGGAAGGCAAAAGTAAGCACAAACTCCCAATAAAGTATGTCGGTAAGTGTTTAATTTCATTTCAAAAGATTTTTAATCTCATTTTTTAAAATCTATTTAGGGAAGAGAAAACACAGAAGAATCAGTGTTGGAAATCTCTCTTCATAGATACTTACTCTGATGTAGGAAGATACATTGACCATTATGCTGCTATTAAAAAGGCCTGGGATGATCTCAAGAAATATTTGGAGCCCAGATGTCCTCGGATGGTTTTATCTCTGAAAGGTACTGGCAATGCAGGGTCTCCCTTCATTTTAGTAACTATAGTATAAATAGGTTAAATAACTTGGGTTTCTATCATCTGTGCTAATCTGTAATTCACCAACATTATCTGTAAATCACCATTCACATTTGGCCGAGGAAATAGGACACCTATATTGCTAAAAGGACCCTTGCTCTACTGCTTGTCCCATTTTGCCTGCCTTGGGACCCATGTGATTATTTATTAGAAGGGAAAGCTGAACTCCTTTTGTCCTTACATTTGTTTTGTAATAAGCTCACTAATGCTAAGATTGCTTGAGGATAACTATTGTGATTTCTTTCAAAGGAGGTTTTTTTTTTTTTTTCCTTTTTTCATTGAAAAACAGCCTGCTGTGTTTACCCTCTTTCTTATTTTTAGGGCAAGTAAAGTTTTGTTTGATAGTCTAATGATTTAGAAAGACCAAATATTAAGGACCTGGGGTCTTTCAGAGCGTAAGAGCAGCATAATAAAGTAAGGAAAACTTTCATTCCTATTTTGACATTCACAGAATAGTGCAAACTAAGATTTGAACTAAGGTCTATCTGACCGCAGAATTTGTGGTTTTTCTACTGTCCTGTTACTGTCCAACTCTGGCAAGACATATTAACAAGCTATTTCCCACTAATTTGATTTGTTAATTTATGCCCCAAACATTGGGGCATCTGGATGGCCCAGTTGTTCAGTGTCTTCCTGTAGCTCAGGTCATGATCCCAGGGTCCTGGGATGAGCCCTGCATCGGGCTCCCTGCTCAGCGGGGAACCTGCTTCTGTCTCTGCTCCCCGCCTTTGCTCCCTCTCACTATCTGTATCTCTCAAAATAAATAAAATCTTAAAAACAAACAAATAAGAAAGGACATAAACAGATTGCAGATATATCACTGCTTACCTGCTTTAGCCTCCCAAGTTTTTTCAGATTTCTCCAAAGGAATTTTAAACATGTTTTGGTTTTGCTGAAGTGAAACTGGGATCCGTTCTCCCATGTATTCCTTTTGAACTAAGGTCCCTTTGGAAACGGTATTCCTTTCACGTTTCATATCTCCACTGTAACTTCGCATGCAACCATGAATTCACACAAACCAGGATCGCATGACTAGGTACTTTGAACTGAATTGCTAGGAGATAGGGAAAAGAGTGATTTGGCAGAGAGTATCCTTGAAGGAAAGTATCCTTGATTAATATCTTTAATAGTTTTTTCTTTTTTTTTTTTTTTTGGAAAAGAATAATATCTACTTGGTATGTGGGGTTAAATAATTTTAAGAGGAAAGTAATTCCCAAAATAGGTATTTGGTGGTGATAAGTAAAAGAGGTAAGGGTTTATAATAGCTATTATTTTTATTATACACAAAGCAAGACACTAAGCTAAGTACTTCATATTATTCCATTTAATTTGCCAAAATCTTATGAGGTGTAGACCGTTATTATTCTCATTACATAGGTAACATACCTAAGACATAATAAACTAAGTAAGTTGTTTGCCATCACAAAATAAAAGGCAGAGCTAGGATTTGAATAAAGACTGTGGTCTTTAACAATTGAAGGGAGAGACGACCGATTCCATTTTGTCCAGAGAGCCTTAGGACTCTGAGAGAGCTAGTCCAATATTAGGATGTTTAGAATATGAAACTGTAGGCATGGTTCTCCTTTTAGGCACAGAGCTAGAAGAAAGGAAGAAACTAAAGATACAGAGCAGTTTCTTTTTCTTTCTTCCTTTTTTCTCCCCCTCCATTTGGCATTTCCAGGTTTGCTGCTCACTATTCTGTACCTGGTGGTTGGGGATGAGGTTGTCAGAGACTTCCCTGGTAACTTCTGTTTTACTACGAGGTGCCAGTTCTTTGGGGGGTTTTGCTGTGAGTTGGAATGGGGTAAAAGTTGTTTGATATCTAGAATGCTGGGGACTCTAGGGGTGCCAGGCCTATGAGTTGCTGGACTGAATCAGGAACTAGCCACTCACCTCAAGGGCCACAGTCCCTGACTCAGTCTCAAGGTTATGCAGATGGCAGAGATAGAAAGGGAACTTGGAAAGCAAATAGGCACTGGTCTTGGGGAAAGTTTTACAGAGTACTTTGGAATTATCTAATGGTATATATCATGTGTCTTAGAATTTCGTATTTACCCTATGTGTGGGCTTAGAACTTTAGAGTTGAAAGGGGCCTTTGAGATACTCAGACCAGGGTTTGGCAGACTTTTTATTTAAATGGCCGGGTAGTAAATATTTTAGTCTTTGCGAGAGAGAGAGTCTCTATCACAACTATTCAACTCTTCTGTTACTACAGGGGAGCAGACATTGACAATACCTAAACAAATGGGCATGGCAGTATGCCAAGAAAACTTTATTTACAGAAACAGGCAACAGGCTGGGATTTGATCTGCAGGCTGTTGTTTGCCAGTCCCTGATTTATACTGGTTCCCTTGTTTTACAGGTGAGGGAACAGGCTCAGAGAGTTTCAGATGACTTACACAAGGTCCCATAACTAGTAAGTGACAGAGATAGAACTTTAATCTAGGTTTCTTGGCTCCTGGTAACCTGTACCCTGGTTTTCCATAAAAGTAGGCTAAGGGGAAAGTAAAGTAAATGAACATTTATTGAGTGCCCAAAAAGCACTTTATTAAGCAGAGGGAGCTACTTTAGTCATCCCTGATAATTGTCTCAAGTAGGTAGTATTATTATCCCCCATTTTGCAGATGAAACGGGGTTAAAGAGGTGAAATCACTTGCCAGAAATCACAGAGCTAGTAAGTGGTAGAGTGAGATTTGAACCTGGTCTGGTTGGCTCCCGAATTATCCTACAGCAGGATGCCCCTCCAAACCTTGATGTTGCCGTATTATAAAGATATATTTCTTTATATTTTTCTCTTGTTGTGGTTTTACTTTTTTCTGTCCAGCTATCTCCTCAAGAAATTCTTAGTTTCTTAATGTTCTGTGTTGAATGTCCGACATGTAGCACTAACTATACCAATATTAGTTTCTTTCCTCATCAATTTCTGGCTCAGGCAGCTGTTTGCTTGTTTTCTTTTGTACTACATGTTTTTATAGATAAACTTTTTATTTTTGGAGTAATTTTAGATCACAGAATGCAAAGACAGTACAGAGAGTTCTTGAGTTCTTGTACACCCCCTACCCAGTTTCAGTTTCCCGTAACATACCTCCCTGTGGGACGTTTTTCAAAGCTACTGTCTTTCTTGGCACATTACTGTTAACTAAATTCCAGACTTTGTTTGGATTTCACCACGTTTTCCATTAATATCCTTTTTGGATTCCAGAATTCAATCCAGAATACCACATTGCATTTAATTGTCATGCCTCCTTGTGTCTTCTGATGTGTGGCACTTTCTTAGTCTTTCCTTGTCTTTCATGATCTTGACAGTTTGAAGGAATACTCATCAGCTGTTTTGTAGAATATTCCCCAAAGTGGCTTTGTCTGAAGTATTACTTATGATTAGATTGGGGTAATGGGTTTTTGGAAAGATTACCACAGAGATGAAGTGCCCCTCTTATCACATCCTACCTAGGGACACATGATATCCACATGCCATCACTAGTGATGTTAACTAACATACAGAAATGTGTGTGGATTCTAAGTGTACAACTTGGTAAATTATCACAACATAAACCTGACCATTGTAACACCCTCCAGGTCAAGAAGTAGAATGATTTTCTGTACCTAGAATCTTCCTCCTTTCTCAGAAGTAACCACTATCTTGATTGCTAATGCCACTGAGTAGTTTTCTCTCTTTTTGAACTTTATATAATTTGCACGATTAAGTATGTATTTTGTGTGAATTATTTCTGTTTTGTTTGTGAGATTCGGCTGTGTTGTGTGAACAATAGCTTGTTCATTTTTGTGGCAAGTATAGTCTGCCGTTATATAGGTGGACTATAATTTATAGATTCATTCTACTGTTGATGGATATTGGGTTATTTCTAGTTTTTTGGCTATTATAAATAATGTTGCAGATAATTTTTGATGCACATATGAGCATACTTCCATCAGGTAAATATCTAGGATTGAGTTTCCTGGGTTGTAAAGTATGCTTATATTATACTTCAGAAGATACTATTAATTTTCCAAAGGGGTTCTAAAACTTTACATTCCCACCAGCACTTTAATGTTGTCATTCTTTTTTTTTTTTTAAGCCTTTCTAGTGGATACGTAGTGGTGGTTTTAATTTGCATTTCCCTAAGAACATTGAATAGTGACAGTTTTAATTCTAGCTTTCCAATCTTCATGTCATTTTTTTTCCTGCTTTATTGCACTGGCCGGGGCCTTCAGTTTTGGATAGAAATGACGATAATGAGTATCCTTACCTTTCTGATCACAGAGGAAAAACTTTCAACTTTCTCCTTTCAAAATGATGTTTGCTGTAGGTTTTTAAATAGATATTCTTTATCACATTGAAGAAAGTGTCTTCTGATCCTAGTTTGTGGAGAGGGTTTTTGTTTTTGTGTTTTAAATGGATACTTGAATTTTTGTCAAATGACTTTCCAACCTTGTGATTATCACGTGATTTGCCTACTTGATTCTGTTAATGTACTGAATTGCATTCATTGATTTTCTGAATATTAAACTGACTTTGCATTTCTGGAATAAACTTACTTTGGCTGTAATATCCTTTTTGAATGTTGGATTTGATATGCTAGTATTTGATTGGGATTTTTACATCTGTGTTCATGAGAAACTTTGGCCTATAGTTTTTCCTTCTTGGAATGTTCTTGTCAGGTTTTGGTATCAAGATGATACTGGCCTTAGAAAACAAGTCAGGGGATGCCTGGGTGGCTCAGTCAGTTAAGCCACTGCCTTTGACTCAGGTCATGATCCCAGAGTCCTAGGATCCAGTCCCATATCCGGCTCCTTGCTCGGCAGGGAGCCTCCTTCTCTCTCCGCCTCTGCCTGCCACTCTGCCTGCTTGTGTGCTCTCAATCTCTCTGACAAATAAATAAATAAATAAAATCTTTAAAAAAAAAAAAAAAGAAAACAAGTCAGGAAGTGTTACTTTTTTTTTTTTTCTTTTCTCTCCAACAGTTTATGTAAGCTTGGTATTATTTCTTACTTAAATTATCCATAGAATCCATTCATAGAATGGATTGAAGCCATTCAATCCTGGAGTTTTCTTCGTGGGAAGGTTTTAAGTTAAAGATGCAATTTCTTTATTAGATATAGGATTATTCAGATTTTCTACTTATTCTTATGTCAATCTTGACTATTTTTCTAGTTGGATCTGTGGTGATCTCACATTTCCATTTCTAATATTGTTTGTACTCTTTGTGTTATTTTTTTGATCGGTCTTACTAGGTAGGGGTTAATCTTATTAGCCTTTTCAAAGGACTGGCTTTAGCCTTTGTCAGTTCTATGTTCATTTCTTATTATTTCTATTAATTTATCTGATTTCTTTCTGAGTTTACTGTGGCATTTTCCTTGATTTGAGAAGATTAGATCATAAAATTTCAGGTTTTCTAGTTTTCTTCAAACGCTTTTGCTATAAATTTCCCTCTAAGCATAGCTTTAGCTTCATCTCATAAGTTTTAATATGTTGTATTTTCATTAACATGCAGTTCATAATATTTTCTGATTTCTTCTTTGACCCACAGGTTTATAGAGAGATGTATTGCTTGATTTCCAGATATTTGGGGGTTTTTCAAAGTAATTTTCTTAATATAATCTATACTTTAGTTCTTCTGGGATCAAAGAATATACTCAATATGAGTTTAGTTGTTTGAAATTTGTTGAGATTTTTCTTTGGTCTAGCATATAATCTATCTTGGTAAATATTCCATGTACACTTGAAAAGAATGTATATTTTGCAATTGTTGGATTCAATACTGTGTATATAATTAGGCAAAAAATGTTAACCTTGTTCAGATCTTTTTCAGTCTTACTGATTTTACTTTATCTTATTTTATTTTATTTTATTTATTGTTGTCTGCTTGTTCTATTAGTTACTGAGAGAGGTATGGTAAAACTTACCAGTGTGATAGGCAGAATTCTGAGATAGCTAGCTCCAAAGATTCCTACTCCCGCTATACTTGCTTGGTATAATAATAGCCTCCCTTTGAGTGTGAGTGGTACTGTGGATATAATTGATTTCAGTTCTGTTATTAGGTAATAGATGACAAAGGTGAATGGGGTTTGCAGATGTAATTAAGGTCCTAAATTAGTTGAATTTGAGTTAATCATTAATCAAAAGGGAAATTATCCTGAACAGGCCTGACCTAATGAGGTGAGCCCTTAAAAACTGGGCCCTTCCAGAAGGCAGAGAGATTTGAAGCTTGGGTATCTTCTGTTGGCTTTGAATAAGCAAGCTGGCATGTTGTGAGGAGGGACAGGTGATAGAGAATAATGGCAGGTAGCTTCTAGGAGCTAAGGGCCCCAGTCCTGCAACAGCAAGGAAACGAATTCTGACAATAACCACTGAACTTGGATGAGGACCCCCAAGCATCATGAGATGCATAATCTGAGATAGCAGCCACAGTTGACGTGGTGATTTCAGCCTGTGGGACCTGAGCAGAGGATCCAATTGAATCATGCCCAGACTTCTTACCTTCAGAAACTGTGGGATAATAAATGCATGTTGTTTTAAGCTGCCAATAGCATAACAATAGAAAACTAGTAACTATGGTTGTGGATATATCTTTTTTCCACTTTAGTTCTGTTATTTTGAAAAATATATTTTGAAGTTGGGTTATTAGGTACACCATTTTGCCATTTCAAAAAGCCTTGCATTACCTCTGATAATGCTCTGTGCCTTACAGTCTATTTTGTGTGATTTTAGTACAGCTATTTTAACTTTCTTTTGTGTGTCTACATCTCTAAGATGTGCCTCTTATACATGGTTGTGTTTTTTATCTGGTCTGTCAGTCTTTTCATTACTATATAATTTCGCTTATTTATATTTAATGTAATTACTCATGTATTTGAGCTTGAATATACCATATTCCTATTTGTCTTTTATTTGTACTTCCAAGTAAGTGTTCCTTTTTTATCTGTTCTTCTTAATTATCTTTTATTCTGTACTTCCCTTTCTTATTTATCATTTTTAGTGACTTACTCTAGAGATTAAAGGATGCATCTCTGACTTAATTAAAATCTATTGGAAATTAGTATTTTTACCACTTCCTGGTCAATAAGAACCTTAGAATACTCTCACTCCAGTTGTCACCCTCTTGCCTTTTGATTATAGTTTTTGTGATTTTAATTTTGGACATATTTTCTATCCCTGCAAACATTATTAGTATTTTATATGTTCATTTTTATTATAGATTTACCTCCATTTTTACATTTTCTTGTTGTTCTTCATTTCTTCCTGCATCTTCTTCATGCTTTCATCTGGGATCATTTTTCTTCTACCTGAAGAATTGATTTTAGTTTTTTGTTTTGTTTTGTTTTGTTTTGATGAGGGACTGCTATTGCTGAATTTTTTCAGGTTTCTTTTTTGTCCAAAAATGTATTTATTTCATCGACACTATTCAGTGGATATAGAATTCTGGTCAACAGTTCTTTTTTTCGGCACTTAGAAGCTGTCATTCTTCTAGCTTCTATTGTTTCTGTTGAGAATGTAGCTGTTACTCTTATTGTTGTTCCTTTCAAAGTGACTATATGGCTTTTACCCTTTGGCTGCTTTTAAGATTTCTCTTTGTCTTTGATTCTCAGCAGTTTCCCAATAATGTGCCTAGATACGATTTTCTTTAAAACTACTCTCCGCAGGGTTTATAGTGCTTCTAAAATTTGGAAAATTTTCCCCATACTGCTGCTGTTAAGTTTTGCTCAGCTTCTCAGCCACAGGTCCACTGTCAGAATTGGCAGTTGCCTCCAAGACGGGCTTGCACCAAAGGCCCGGCTAACCTTTCATTTTCCGTGTTCTTCTGACTGCCTCTCTCCCCCAGTTCTCACTGTCTTTGAGGTTCTCCAGAAGCCTTGAAACCAATTTTCTGTTGTTTTTCTAGTTCTCAGCAAGAGGTCTGCTCCAACCACCTAGTGAACCATTACTGGAAATGAATCTCTTCTTTCGGTATTTGTCATCACTTCCTGCTTCTTAAAGCTGGAACAGATGGCAGGCTGACAAACACGCAAAATTGGATTTAAGTTAGTGGCTTTCCCATAGAATGAACCCATACTTACCCATGTTCTGTATTTCTCATTAAGAGACTATGTCAAGGCTCTCAAAAACATCAGTTTAGAGACCTTCTGGAGAGGTTTTTTGTTTGTTTGTTTTTTAATAGAGTGTGTTTTAAATGTGAGTGTGTTCGATTAAGAAAAATGAGGTATACGTTAAAGTTTGCGTCGTAAAGTGAGATAATTACAATGGATCTCCCTGCTGTGTACCTTTCCATATTTCACTAAGTGCCAGTGTTTTCTCTGTTGAGAGGAAATTGAAGAATTTCATTCTCAGTGTTGCAGATGTCAGAGCCAAGCTAAAGTGAAATAATGTCGCCCTGAATTTTCCATTTATTTCCCTGTATTTCAACAGTACATTTTGGACAGAATTCATTTGCTCTAAGTTTGTTTCACTTAGCAATCTGCTAGCAGCAGATTGTATTTCTCCTTAGATATAAGGCTTATTATTTCTTCAGAATTTGCTTTTTTTGTGCCTTTGCAGAGGGCGCTCGAGAGGAGGACCTAGATGCTGTGGAAGCTCAGATTGGTTGCAAGCTTCCTGATGATTATCGATGTTCATATCGTATCCACAATGGGCAGAAGTTGGTGGTTCCTGGGTAAGAATGTTTGCCATTTGGGTTATTGGTAACACATCATTTCCCAGAATAAAAATTTAAAAATACAGTTTGTAGTTATCTTAACAGATTAAAGGAGTACAGGAGTATAGGAATTCCCTCTTCTTCCTTGTAAGCATCCAAAAGACAGAATCTGTTGCTTGAATTTTATTTTCCCCAAATAAGTATCTCATAACAACACGTTTCTGTCAATGCATCCTTATACTTAAAATGAAGTCTGGTTGCGGTTGGGGTTGGGGTGGGTGCTGTGGTACATAGGGTGGATGTGTGTGCAAGTATATTTTCACTAAAACTCTTCAGAACCCTTGAGGTCTTTATCCTATTATAGGCCACGTAATTGTTTTGGAGAGCTTGATGTAAATTCTGTGTACCATACATATAAAAAGCAATAATTTATTCAGAGCTGTATACACTAAAGAACATAGAGTTTTGTCCTATTCAGGCAAATAGTAATTGTAATTGAGTGGCCTATTTTTAAGAGGAAGTATTCATTGTGGAACCTTTTGGTAAAAGCAGACATGCAGTAGCTGTCAGATTTATTCGCAGTGTTAAAAGCTATATACTTTGGACCTACTCCTTTTGTTCTTTTATGAAATTGAGCTATTTCAGAGACGTTGCACTTATCAAATGTTCGTAAGAACTTACGGAGAACTTTGTGTTGTTCTTAATGGAACATGGTGTCTCTTTGTTGTGAGGAATCCAATGAGGCCCTGTTCACCACTTAAATCAGGGTTGAGGGAATACAGGGTGATCATACTGAGATTTTAAGATTGTATGCAGAAATCAAATATTGGGCAGTTTGGACTAAATAAGCTGAAATTACTGGCTGTTTTTTTCTAGCCTTTTTTCCCTATTGAACTGAAACTTGACAAAAATTGAAAAATTGTCATATTTCAAGAGCAAATAAGAGAGAACTTTATTAAAATAGTTGCCCGGAATTGACAGGACAAACAGGTCATAATTTCTATGCGGGATTTATGTCTACCCACGGTCCACACTGTGAGACTTTAGGATAGGACTCCTATCTAGGATTTCTTCCATCAAGGACCAGTACCTCGTTCTCATGTATATACAGTGAGATTAGTTTAGACCCCATGCATCCCAAGTTTATGGAAATCTGGGCAAGGTTTAGATTTATTTACATTGATACTGTCTGGGAGGGCAGGGTAAGCTGAAAGTTGTATCAAGATAAAGGTATCAGAGTTTTACCCCTTTAAACTTTAAAATAGTCACACGTGCATATATAGCAAAACACTAGCAAATCAGTATATCACGGCAAGATAGTCTTAAAAGCAATAAAACTATTTTTCTTTTAAAAAGGCTTTTTAGGCATTTTAGACATTCAGGCTTTTCATTTAAATCAGAATCTTTCCACTCAAGAGTTTGAATGTAAAAAAATTGTAATGTTTTTGGCGATTGACATGTTAATCAGTTCTTACAAAGCTGTCTAGGAAATCCATCAAAAACAATGAAGCCCAGCTGTTTGTTTGGCACGGGAATTGATTAAAGTTTTGTCTGTGCTCTCAGGTTGTTGGGGAGTATGGCGCTGTCCAACCACTATCGTTCAGAGGATTTGTTAGATGTCGATACAGCTGCTGGAGGCTTCCAGCAGAGACAGGGACTGAAGTACTGTCTCCCGTTAACTTTTTGCATACATACTGGTCTGAGTCAGTACATAGCAGTGGAAGCTGCAGAGGGCCGAAACAAAAATGAAGTTTTCTACCAGTGTCCAGTAAGTAGGAAGTCTGTTTAAATGCGGCTGTCAGATGTGTTCTGATGAGTGTATATATGTGTGCACTAAGAGTTTTCAGGGCTGTAGAATGGGTATAGAGCATTCTACAATTTCATTATAGACCCATCTAATTAAAGGGCTAATATTCGGCCATAATATTCTGACATGAAAGAACGCCAAAGGAAAATCTTACCCATGGACAAACAACAAACCATTACACACACACAGGGATGGCAGCGATATGTGTTAAGGCAGTTTAAATTTTAGAAAAAGTAATGGGATTTGCTGAAGTAATTATGATACACATTTCTGACTGAATTTCTAACAAAAAATTTAGCTTTTGAACGTCATTTGACTCAAGTCCTGAGTGTAATAGAAACTTTTTAAACTCTTCATTAGATAGTTGAGTTGTGGAAAAGTATGGATCCTTTTTTTAGGAGGCTTTTGTTACAATTTAAATATGATCACAGAATATGTATTTAGTTTCCTTCTTATTTTTTCGATTCTTTGTAATTTCTCAGTTGTAGATCTTTGGGCTTCATTTTTCCCAAAATGTGAACTTTTAACTTAAAAGAGGAATTTGAAATTGAAAGTCATAGATACCTGAGACATGGGACTCCATGTAACATTGAAAATATTTAAAGAGCTTTCATAGTTTTATTTTTTTCCCTAAGTGTTTTTGTGTATTTTATCTCATTTTTGACTTGATACCTCTGTAAGGTTGTAGATGTTGGGTTGGTCCCTCCATTTACTGAGAGAAGTGACCAACCTAGAATTGTTCAGGTCTCTTGACTCTGAGTCTAAAGTCCTTTCTTAATAGGCTGTATATCTTCTTACCGTAACTTCCTAACTTAAAGGGTAATTTTTTAGTTCGCTGTAACAGTAATGGCAGTACACAAGTGTTTTAACTGTTACTGAGAAGTGCCTGGCACTCTTCTAAAGACTTTCTAGAAAGGACCTAAATATAGAAATTGTAAGAGCAAGAACTGAAAAGTATGAGTAATGTCCGAGTGTTATTTAGAACACTTGTTATTTTTGTCTATTCTGCCTTGTCTCCAGGGAAAGATACAGATAATGAACAATGAGAAAGTAAGTAAAATGTCTTTTTCTCTATTATGATATTCTTTTTCTCACCTAGGACCAAATGGCTCGGAATCCAGCTGCTATTGACATGTTTATCATAGGTAGGAGAAAAAACGGTCTTCCTTTTCCTTTCTTCTTCCTGGTCAAAAAAATTAAATAGGTAAAAACTTTGCAGTTACTTGATCAGCTGGCAGTTTAAACTTGTCTTTCTTAAAGCTTGCTGGTTTATAAAGTACGTATCTAGGCTCTGATTTGAATCGCCCTTGTACTTTGTGGAAATTTGTTTTCTACCTGGAAAAAACCCATGGCCTATATAATCGTGTGCTCTTAGGACTCTGCTGTAGAACAGGGAAATGAATGGAATTACTGTGAGTATGTATATAGTTACCTTACACATACGTGAATTTTCCATCCATCATGTTAATAGCTAATTGGAGACAGATTAAAACACTTTATATCTATAAAGTTTGTGGTGCCCATTATGGGAAAATACTGATAAATCACACTAGAGATCTCAGAACAGCAATCTTCAGAGACGAGTATAAACTGGGCTCCGTGACCTCTTTGGCACAACTCTTTTTTCTTGAACTTCAGAGGTATTTCTCATAGGAGTTTGAGAACGGTCCAGATTGTATGCAGTTACAGCTTATCCAGGGAGCTGTTCCTGAACCCTCTGCTGTTCATCCAGTCCTGTTTTGCTTAGGTTTTGCTGAGGAGATGCTTCCTGACTATCCATTCTGTTTTCAAAGGCACACATTAAACATCCCTATATATTCATAGCAAAGGGGCCTTGTAGGCTGAGGTGTTTGCACTTAATTACATCTCCTTTGTTTTTTTTTAAGATTTTATTTATTTGACAGAGAGATCACAAGGAGGCAGAGAGGCAGGCAGAGAGAAAGGGGGAAGCAGGCTCCCTGCTGAGCAGAGAGCCCTATGCAGGCTGGATCCCAGGACCCTGAGATCATGACCTGAGCTGAAGCAGAGGCTTAACCCACTGAGCCACCCAGGCACCCCTAATTATATCTCCTAATTGGAACCTTGAACAGAATATTAGTCTCCATTTTTTCCATATTGTGACACATTCCAGGTTTATGGTATATTTCACAACACCAGGAAATTCTCCCTATGTACAAAGTTATAGAAAGCTGGGTTTTTTGTTGTTTTTTTTTTTAAGATTTTTGTTTATTTTTTTGAGAGAGAGGGAGAGAGAGCATTAGAGAGTCAGAGAGAGAAGCAGACTCCCTGTTGAGCAGGGAGCCTGATGAGGAACTTGATCCTGGGACTCCAGGATCATGACATGAGGCCAAGGCAGTTGCTTAACCAACTAAGCCACCCAGGCACCCTATAGAAAGCTGTTTAACTTAGCCACTAGCTTTTAGCTCCCCCTGATTTGTGTTGGTGTATGGTTTCCAAGTTAAGTGCCCCCTTGGGCTTCTGCCCCTGCTCACTGCCCTCTTTGGCATCTTTGCATAGCATAGACCTTCAGAGATGATCACCACGGCTCTAGAACAGTGTTGCTACTAATGTACAGACTAAAGGCTGCCTGAGCTCTTAGGTAAGTGCCCGCTAAGCTCTGGGAGTTGCTCACTCTTGGTTTGGTGCTGGTGTGAGATGGTATGAAAGTCCCCACCACTACAGCAGAGTTCTAAGATCTGATGACTACTATTCTGATAGCTGGAATTTTGCCTGGAATAAGAAAGCAAAGCAGAAGATTTGAGATGCACTGAGGGAGGAGAGATGAGATGGGATATGAGTGCTGGGAGGAAAGACAAGAAAGCTTAAAGCTTCCTTTAAGCTGCCTTGATAAAATCCCAGTGCTACCAAAGACAAACCAAGATACAGGCTTACTTTAAAAGGTAAACTACCTAGAAATGTGTAAATTGCATCTTGATTCAACAAAGTTTGATGCTCTTGGAATTTCTGGTAAAACCCAAAATGGAAACTCCTGGTGTTCAATGAATTATTAGTAGATACTTGAAAAAAAACTAGAATCTGTGTTCAGGTAAGTTGAGTTGTAAAGACTGCATAGAAAAGACTGTCCTCATTCTAAAGAACACACTTGGATGTGTATTATTATAAATTAAGGTACCTTAAAATATACCATGCCAATTTCATTTTTATGTAAACCATGAAAAATTTGTGGTGTTTTTTTTTTTTTTACTGTAACATTTTTTCCCATGAAATAGACAAAGTGATGTTTTAAACTTTACAGGGAAATCACTAGTTCTAAAAACACAATTGTAGCTTCTTTGAATTTTAATGACCTTATTCATGTGCCTCCTTAGTATCTTATTCAGAGTGGATAGATGGTAGGTGATCATTTGAATAGAACATTCAATAATGAAAGGGTTGGAATTGGCCATTCATTAGTAGATGTCGAGAAAAGAGCCAGATATTGCAGTTTACCTCCTCTCAGCTGATGCCTTTAAAATTTTAAAGCTATAAACCCTTAAACTGTATCTTCTATTATTCCCTAAATAGAAGAGTAAGTAAATACTGTAAATTTAGCTCCAGTGTTCAGCTCCATGGCAGAGTGTGAGAACTGTGTTAATAGAAACAAGATTACAGAAAAATGCACTGAAAAAACATTGATTCAGGGACTGATAGTGCTGGGCACTGAGTTGTATTAACAATAGATGTGGGGTTTGAGAAAGTTCCATTATATTACCTAGAAGGGGCAAACATAATTCACATAAATACTTGTCATTGATCCACTCACTAGAGCATGGACGGATGTGTGGTCAGGTCTGGACTGGACTTTGAGCTGGTCACTGAGAATATAGAGGACCACTGTGCATTTGAATCTGTAGGGTGCAACTAGACTAGTTTGGGATTGTTCTGATACACAGAACTGTACAGTGCCGTACCCCTGTTAGATGCCCGGACTGAGCCTGGCTTTTGCCAGAATTTTGTGCATGAGTCAGGAGGTACCTGGGCCAAGGGTATATACCTTGATCATCTGAGGATGGCGTTGATATTTTTCCTGTAGTTTCTTCCTAGACATAGCTGTATCTGTATCTCCTTTGTTCCGTATGCTCTAGAAACTATAGACAGAAGAAGGCTTTTCATTCTTGTACCAGCACAAAATAAATTTTAAAAATCTATTATTTAATTATAAGTGTAAAAAGTAGCTTGAAAAGGTAGATGGAGGGTTCCCTAGCAAGGCATTTGGGAGTGTGATGGATAGAACTGAGAACAGAAATTGGCCATAGAATTTTAAGTGTTTCTACTTTTGATCTTGTATCTTAAGCATAGAGGAATTGTCATTGTTTCTTTTATAGATTTTATAAAAATTATTGTCCTTTTCTTCCTCCCCACCCCTTCCTGGTTTATAGGTGCTACTTTTACCGACTGGTTTACTTCTTATGTCAACAATGTTGTATCCGGTGGCTTCCCAATTATCAGAGACCAAATTTTCAGGTATTTCCCTCAGGACTTTTTGAATTAAAATGATTGTAAGTCAGAAAATACCATTAGTTACATGTCTTGAGATGAAGTTTCAAAGAAGATAAATAACAGAACCTCTCATTATCTTAAGTGCCACTGTGTTAGTCCCACTTCAAAGCCACATTCAAATACTTGAATAGCCAATATTTTTCTTATCTTGAAGGATCCAGAGGAAAAACTGATTTTGATTTTGAAGTTATGGCTTTATGTTATAGTTTCTTTTTATACATAGTTTCTTTTGGGGGGTTGGAAACAGGCTATTTGCCAGTTAATGGATTTATCATGAATAGCAAGTCAGTAACCATTAACTCAGGGCAAATATTATTTATCTTCTATAAATGAAACATCCAGGTATTATAGATAGTACTGCAGGTGATATTGGTTCACAGTAGCCTGACTGGCAGAAATGATAGATTAATTATAAATTAGAGGTCTCCAGAATAACATACCAGCACATCTTATTGTCAGAGCCACCGTTGATAGGGTTTTCAGATATCCCAAAAGTTTCCTGGCTCTGAAAACTGACTTAAGCTCTTTTTAGTTTCCAGTGTAATTGCTGAATCATTATTGGAACCACTGATTATTGAGCCTTGATGCTATCATTACTGATCTGAAGTCTTCAAAGTTTTCTCGTTACCTTGTAATTTATAATTTTCTTCTAAGCTTCACAGGACTTTACCTTTAAATTCCCATTTAAGTTCCCAGATATGTTTTAAATTTTTGATCGTAAGGTAAAATATAAGCTATTTGGCATTGTATCTTAAAAAATCTTTTATCCTATGGACTTGAAGTTAGTTGATTAAAAAATGTTTAATGTTTTAAAATTATCTAGGTATGTTCATGATCCAGAGTGCGTGGCAACAACTGGGGACATAACCGTTTCAGTTTCTACATCGTTTCTGCCAGAACTCAGCTCTGTCCACCCACCCCACTACTTCTTCACATACCGAATCAGGTGAGAGACAAAATGGGGTGCAGCCTGTGAATATGTTGTTATTGCCCCCTTTGACCTGGCCCATCAGACACATTTTGAAAGACAGCCTTTTGCTGAGGTGTGGAAGAAGGTGGATAACAAACTTTTTTATAACCTAGTATAATAATATATCATTTTATAAAGTATAATTTTATAATCTAGTGTAATCCAGTACCTTGAGTTTACAGTAACCTCCAAGTTACTTAAGTTATTTCATGCAAAAGTTCTATGTTTAAAGAATTGTGCCAGTGAGGTAGACACTAAGTTATAATCCTCACGAAAGCTCACTCTGAGAGTTGCATTTAGAAGCTATCAAATCGCTTCTTGGCCTTTTGGCTAAGATCAAGTGGAGAAGCTGTCAAATTGTTCAAGATAAAGCTGTGCATTTTAAATTTCACTGAGGCTGCCTATATTGATTAAAACACTAATAAATATTTATCAGGTGCTGCCTGTATATCAGGCATGGTGTTAAGCATTGGATTTGGTTAAATAAAAAACAAACACTAAATTCACTTTAATTAGATGTACTTTGTGCTGTGACATAAAGATAACTCACTGCTTTAAAATATTAAGGATACTCTGTTTTTAGATGTATTTTTATATAATTTATGATATATTACAGATATTTTAAAAATACACATACATGTGTATATACATACTGGAATTTTTTTGCTCTGTATTCTAACCGGGGAGCATCCTAGGATTTTGGTATTATGTGCAGCCTTTGATAGGTTCAGTTACACATGTACAGATGCTTGTTATTGTAATTGTTTAACTCAGATCCTGTCTAAGATTGAAACATGCTTAGAATAGTAACACTGACCCTTGCTTATAGGGTACTCCAAATGAAGATAAGAGACAGCAGATTCCTAGAGAAAGGGGGGAAACAATAGTACTGGGAAAGAGTCAAAATGTAATCCTACTAACTGTTTGGTGACATTTTCCTTTGAGCTTTCTAGAAGTTAAGGAAAAAAGGAAAATGTGTTCAGTCTCATTTTTTAATAACAAATTTTTAAAGAAAATCAGAATTTTTTATTGCACTTTATTCTGGAAAGCATTTTGTACATTGATCTTTACTTGAAAAGCAGAAAATTATCACCACCAATGTGTTCATAAATTTTTATGTCCCCATTGTTGATTCTCACGGCAAGTCAAGTGTGCAAATTGAGTAAAGGCATTTCTGTGGGAGAGCCAAGCTAATCAGGTCCCTGTCTTTGAGAACTTACAGAGATAGATGGTTAACACAGATGTCAGTCTAAGTAGTATACCTCTTAAGCAAGAGAAACCAAATCAGGCCAGATTTGTGTGTCTCCACACCATTCCCTTCTCCAGGATTGAAATGTCAAAGGATGCACTTCCTGAGAAGGCTTGTCAGTTGGACAGTCGCTACTGGAGAATAACAAATGCTAAAGGTGATGTAGAAGAAGTTCAAGGACCTGGAGTAGTTGGTATGTATGTAACTCAGGATTTGCTTTACAGATCAGTTACCTGTAAGACGAGCATATATGTGATATACAGCTTGGAAAAGGCATGATGTAGTTAGTGGATAAGACTATTTTTTTTTAATATCTATTTATTTATGAGAGAGAGAGACACACACACACAGAATGAGTGGGGGGAGGGGTAGAAGGAGAGGGAGAGAAAGAATCTCAAGCAGACGCCCCTCTAAGCCTGGAGCCCAGCACGGGCTCAATTTCACCACTCATGAGATCATGACCCGAGTCAAAATCATGAGTTGGACACTTAACTGACGAGCCACACAGGTGCTCCAAGACTGTATCTGTTAATAGTTGTGTTTACAGTGTGAAAGATATCATAGATTCTGGGCTTCTTGTAACTCCCATTCTTTGCTTCATAAATATAATGTGTAACGATCATTATTCTATTAGTTTGCTACCTTAAACATGAACTTCTCTAAAATTATAGCAAACATGAACTTCTCTAAAATTATAGCAAACCTACATTCAGGGGTTGATTTTTCATTCTGTGGATCACTTGAGTTCCTTGTTTCTTAAGTTTGTCTTCCTTTTTAAGTTGGATAACCATGTTCTATAGAGTTACCAGGAATAATAGGGCAGAAAGAGAAAATAAATTTCATATTGATCATCTTTTTGAAATTTGGGGGAAATGTTAAAATCAGTAGCACAGGTTCTTATTTGTGGATTTCAATCATCATTAGTTCTGATTGTCATTGACCGTCAGCTTTTTACATGATTTTGATTATTGGGACAGTTTAGATCTTTTTTCCTAATTGTGCATTTACTTTAACATAGGTTACATAATCTCATAGAGGACATATCTTATTTGCTGTAATGAAGCACTGAATTTTATACTTCGGTTTCTTATTACTGTTTTCTCTGCAGGTGAATTTCCAATCATCAGCCCAGGTCGGGTATATGAATATACAAGTTGTACCACATTTTCTACAACATCAGGATATATGGAAGGATATTATACCTTCCATTTTCTTTACTTTAAAGACAAGATCTTTAATGTTGCTATTCCCCGATTCCATATGGCTTGTCCAACATTCAGGGTGTCTATAGCCCGATTGGTGAGTTAAACTTTCCTCTGGGACTGATTTCCATGACTTTGTAGAATTAACTCCACAGAGGGATTTTGTTGATTAGCCAGACAAATGGTGTATAAATGGTGTTCCAGAGAACCCTAGAGATTCGGAGGAAATATCGTGGGGGGCCATGTGAATATGTGGGGGTGGTGGATAATAAGTAAGCTAGACTCCATACGCTTCAGTCAGAGTAACTCTACTCTGCTTAGCTGTTTTTTGTTTGTTTTTTTGTTTTTAATGTCATTTTTCTTTTGAGCAGTTTTCGATTCACAGATAATTGAGCAGAAGGTACAGAAATTTTCCAAATACCCCCCACCCCCATGCACGCACAGACGTCCTCAACATCAGTCTCCCACCAGTCTCATGGTATTTTTGTTAAACCTACATTGGAATATCATAATCCCCCCAAGTCCATAGTCTACATTAGAGTTCACTCTTGGTGTTGTACGTTTTTTGGGTTTGGACAAGCATATAATGAGACGTATCCGCCATCATAGTATCATGTAGAGAGGTTCCTGGTTTTAAAGGTTCAGCCTCTTTTCCACCATTTCAAAAAAAAGTTCTGTGGCGTAATAAGAAACGCCACACTAGACCAGTTAGAATAGGCTTTATTTAATTTCATTAAGATTAGAAAAGCAATTTCTTGTAGTGTTTTTGCTAAAAATACCAATTTTATAAAATAATACAATTATCGTAGAGAGAGACTACTAAAAGTGCAAGTCTACCCGTTAAATCCTCTGTAGTCCTCTCTCTTTGGGATCATTTCCTAAGTCAACTCGGTATAATTTTTAAATCTCACTTTTAGGACTACTTATGATAATGGCAGTACCCCAATCTTACAGATTATAAAACGAATGAAGAGAATCATGAGGCCCCAACTATACAATAGGAATAAAATATGACTCATATACCCAGAATATGACAGAGTGGTAGGTGTTGAGTGTTCAGAAAGGGCCCTCTGGCTCCTGGGAAGATGGACATAGGATTAGTCTGACCCAGAGCTGATACATTCCCAACCCCAGTTTGAAAAGAGAAGGATGATATGAGACTTTAGGCCGTAATGCTTGCATATCCGGTGAATAGGATCTACCCTCTGGGTTTGGAAGTGAAGTTTAGCTTTCCTCCCAGTGCAGGAATGCTCTCTACTGTATATTTCTAGTACCAGAAATTTGTTACTTCTTGTAACAGTCTCTTGTTTTTGACTAGTCCAGTTTCTGTCTGAGATTGGTATCATCCATGAATGAATGTTCGATCCAGCTCATTAGTGAAGCCATCTGGGGCTAGAGTTCTCTGTGAGAAACTTTGAAATAGGGGTTTAATTTCTTTCATATATCTCCTACTTCTTATTTCACTTTTGGTCATTTGTGTCTTTCAAAGAATTTGTCCATTTGTCTAAATGTTGAATTATTGGCATAAAATTATAATAGTCCCTTGATATCCTTTTAATGGCTGCAAGAACTATAGTCACATATCCTTTTTTTGCTCCTAATAATGGTAATTTACATCTTCTGTTGATGAGTTTACCTAAGGGGTTATCTCTTTTGTTAGTCATTTGAAAGAACAACTTTGGGTTTCACTGGTTTTCTCTATTGTTTGCTCATTTTCTATTTCATGGATTTCTGAAGTTTTCTTTATTTCTCTCCTCCTACTTTGGGATTTATTTGCTTTTTTACTAGCTTCTTGGGGTAGAAGTTTTAGATTATTGATTTTAGGCCTTTCTTTTCTCTAAAGCACTATTTTGGCTGTGTTTCATAAATTTTGATGTGTTGTTTTCATTAACATTTAATTCAAGATATTCCAGGATTTCCCTTGTAATTTAATTTTGATCTGTAACTATTCTAGAAATGTGTTAAATTTTCAAACATTTGGAGGTTTTCCAGTTAACTTTTGTTTACTGATTTCTAATTTTATTATGGTTAGAGAACTCACTATGTGTAATTTTAATCCTTTTAAAGGTTTTATGTCCCAGCATTATGGTCTATCTTGGTAACAATTCCTGTGTATTTGAAAAGAATGTATATTCTGCTAATTGTGGGAATATTAGCCTATAAAGAAAGTTCAAATTAGTTGACTGTTTCTCAAGTCTTCTATATATTAATTTTTTTTTTTTTTTTTTTTTGGTCCTTGTTCTCTGAAGAGTGATTGTTGAAATCTCCAGCCACAATTACAATTTTGTCTATTTCTCTTTTTAATTTTATCAGCTATGCTTCATGTGTTTTGAAGCCCTATAATTATATGCAAATATGCTTAGAATAATTATGTCTTTTTAATGAAGTTCTTTCTTTTATTATTATGAAATCTCTCTCTTTGATAATATTTCTTATCCTAAAATTGCTAATATTCCTGACCTAAAGTGTAAAGAATGTTGAGGTTTGTTTGGGCTGACAGTTAAGTTACTATGGGGTCAGCTTGATCCTGTTGAGAATTGTTTTTAATGTTTGTTAGGATAGGTATAAAGTAGTCTTTAATATAGGACAGCAGTTCTCAAACTTTTCAGTCTCATGGCTCCCTTAAGCTTTTAAAAGTTATTGAGGACTCCAAAGAACTCTTGTTGATGTGGGTTATATCAATATTTATCATATTAGAAATTAAAACTGAGAAATTTTATAGTATTTACTTACTCTTTTTTTAAAGTTTATAATTTTTAAATTTATAATTTTAAATTATAATAATAAACTCATTACATGTTCAACCCTCTTAACTATGTTCTTACTTATTTGGAGTTTTAACTTCCTCCCAACCACAAATAAGCATATAAAATCTTGACCTGCCTTATGGAAAATGTTTCTCTCAAGCATGAGATACCAATACAAAGAAATGAGAATTCTGGACTTACTTCTAATCAACATGAAAGAGGCAGTGGGGATTGTATTTGTATGGGGTGTTGTATTTGTATTGTAACATTCCTGTTGAAATATTCGTTTTCTTGATATGGAAACTGAATTGTTCTCCTTTTTTGTACCCTAACCGTATGATAATTATTGTACTTGATACTTCCTCTTGCTTTATACTTTGAATGTCACTGCAAAATATACTTTTGGTTGGTCTTTAGCCTTTTCTTGCTCTAGGTGGTTTGTTGTTTGCTTTTGGACAGTTCACAGGTTCCTGCTGCTTATTTATTCCATTCTTACCGTGTGTGCCTCTTTCCATCTGCTGCTTCTATATGTACACTTTCATCTGAGATCATCAGCAGTCTCCCTCCAGCCACACTGACTTCTTTAACTTCTTTTTTCTGTTTTCTTCTTCAGTAAGATGACTAATGATCATACTACCTGAATTTAACATTTTAGGATTTCCTAAGCCTCCCCCTTGCCCCTTTCGAACCTTCTACTGAATTTTAAAGTCCTCATTCCCTAGATTTAAAAAAAAAAATCAAACAATAAAAAGAATGGAATATCATGTCATATTTATGTATATTTTCTCTGATTGTTGTTAATGTTGTTGTTATTAGTGTTACAATAAATCCTAAGTGACAATCCTTTGACAGCTCCTAAAGAACAATTTTTTTTTTCTCCCACATTAATTAATTTGCTTGCTCAGCAAGTATTTATTGAGTCCCAACGAGGTGCGGGGGAAGACGCAGTGAACAATACAGCCAGAGTCTGCCTTGGGGGATATACTATACAGCACACTGACGCTAGTGAATAAACACTGCATTGCATATTTGAAAGTTACTAAGAGAATAAATCTTAAAAGTTCTCATCACAAAAACACATTCTGTAACTATGTACGGTGACGGATATTAACTGGACTTACTGTGGTGATCATTTTGTAATATATATGAATATCAAATCATTATGCTGTACACCTGGAACGAATGAGTGTAATGTTGTATGTCAATTATACCTCAATAAAAAAAAAAAAAGAAGAAAGTTGAGGAAATTAACAAAAACAAAAAAATCTCTGCCTTGAAATTTACATTCTAGTTAGAAGAGACAAGGATAGCAAATATCTGGTTATACCAAGTAGTAATAAGTGCTCTGGAGAAAAATCAGAGTAAAGGATATATAAGGAGTGTCCTGTTGGGTTCTAATATAAAGATCTGTCAAGAATAGGCCTCAGCAACATTAGAGTTGAGACTTGAAAGAAGTAGAGGGAGCCAGGGGGATATATGTGGCAGAAGAATGTTCCAGGTGAAAGAACAGCAAGTGCAAAGGCCCTGAAACACTGATGTTACATAAATATACTAATGCTTGGCATGTGTGAGGAACTGCAAGAGGCCAGTGTAGCTGGAGTGCAGAGGCCGGGGGAGGGAGTGGTTAGAGATGAGATCGGAGCGGTAGTGAGTGCTGGATATGTGATGCCATAAAGGCCTCAGGAAAAGAACTGCTGATGACACATCCCATGTTTCCCAATAGTTCCCACATACCAGCTAGGTGCTCCTTGCTGTTCAGAACTCTCTCTAATACAGCAACTCCTCTCAATTAAGTCTTCAAATGTATGAGAGGGGAAAATTGACAGCAGAGTAAGTCAAAACTTCATTAGAGACACTGCTTAAGCGGAAGTGAAGTTTCCATGAGATGTTCAGATACTGCATGTTCAGCCTCCTTGTTGCCTGCCCTCTTCTGAGAGCCTTGAGCAAGTTAATTTCAAAGTGCCCCTGGTGGTTAAATTGAAATACTGCGTCTTCATAGTAGGAGTTCAACAGAAGTCTATTAGACTTCTGACAATACATAAAAGTAACCAGTAGAGGTCATACCTTATTAATATTTTTGAGTCCTCTTTATGTCAGCATTTAGATTAATAAAGAATTGTTACTTAATACACTAAAATAAATCCAGTAAAATTTTATCTCGGGTTGTTGGAAATGGCCTGTTGGCTGCCTTGTACAAATTATCAACTGTCATGTAAAATAGAAGTACTGTATTAATGAAATTAATGAAATTGACCATTAAAACCACCTCGAGCCTTTTAAAACATGTGCTCTATGGATGTACATTCTAGAATCTTGCATCAGCATGTTCATTTATGAAAATACACGGTTCAACTCTCAAAATTCCTATTTGGCATGTCCTGTTGTTTAGATTCTAGATAAAAGAATTTGTATAAAATAAGTATAAAAAACTGATGGAAGTTCTTATCAAAAGATTGTTTTCTCTTTCAAGGAGATGGGTCCTGATGAGTATGAAGAGATGGAAGAGGAGGAAGAGGAGGAGGAGGAAGACGAGGACGACGATGACTCGGCGGACATGGACGAGTCTGACGAGGAGGATGAGGAAGAGAGGCGGAGGAGAGTCTTTGACGTGCCCATTCGCAGACGCCGCTGCTCTCGCCTTTTTTAGGGAGGCCGTCCTGATGGAAGCGCTGGCATGAATCCAGTTGTTAAAGAGATTTCCCAATAATGTAAATAATTAAATTGTTCTCCACGTATAGCAGGAAAACTAGCATGAGATATTGTTCCATGCCCTGGGTTCTATGAGACAGCACGTTAGGAATTGGATTGTTTTGGTTTGCTTTGTGTTTTGAGGTAGAGGAGAAAATGGGAATCTTTTTTTCTTTCTCTCTCTTGTAGCAGTCAGAGGGAGAATACTTCTCTAGCTAAAGAAGAGACATTTCTTAGTTTCACAATATTTTATACTTCTACAAATACGGAGATGGGAGGGAATTGTTTTGAGTAAGGATTGAAAACGGTAGCAGAAATATCTACACAAGGAGAGAGAGAAACTATGAATGATTCTGTGAAAAGACTTCTTGCAGTTGTGACTTATTTAGAAATGAACATAATTTGTAATTAGGCTAATCCATTGAGTGATTCCTATATATTTTGTACTCACAGGGAACTAACTAAATAGCTTGAATGCTAGTTGTTTGTCCTTTCTTAGACAATCTATCCTTGAATTTGAAATTTTCATCACTACAACCTTGAACTTAAAGTCTTCATCACTATGACCTTGGCCTTGCATTTAGTCTTCAACTCTGCCAACCTTGAATTTAATTTAAAATCTTCAACATGACAACCTTGAATTTAATTTAAAGTCTTTTAACGCTATGACCTTTATCATACTGTTCACAGATGCATCATTTTTGAAATGTAGTGTGTAAAAGTATTGTGTTGTTTATTAACAAGAGTCTTCACAATGTCTTATGTAGTCTGAATTTGTAAATACTGCTTCCTGTTTTGTTTTTCCTTTATACACTTGACTGTCTAACTTTGTGATAAGTGACATGAATTTTATGTTAAGATTAAGTATGTTTTCCTGAAACATGGATTTTTTTGTAATTATATAATTGAGAGTTTGGAATGAAATCCTCCAAGTGGCAAAAACTCACATTTTAAAAACGAATTTTGGTTCTGATCCTGTATCTTGTGTAATTGCCTATTTTCCATAAACTAATACTAATCAGCCTTTGCTGTCAGGATGAAAAAGGAAATCTAAATTTATTGTTCTGTTGCCAGAGGGCATTCCAGAGTATTTCCTGGCTTTGACTATATCCTTTCATATGCTCTACCTTCCATTTTCCCCAAGAGTACTTTTTTTTTTTTTTTTTTTTTCTTAAGATCTTATTTATTTAGCTGAGCAGGGAGCCATCCCTGCTCACAGGGTTCCATCCCAGGACCCTGGGATCATGACCTGGGCCCAAGCCAGACACCCAACCAACTGAGCCACCCAGGAGCCGGAAGAATGTTTCTTTTGTAGGGAAAACTGTAGGAAGACAGACGTGTATATAGGATTAAGCAGCTGCCCCCAGGCACCATGAAGACCCTTTCCTATTGGCACATGTCAGAATGTTCTGAAATGGAGTAAGTAGTTCCTGCGTTTTAAAATTTTATCATCAGGTTACCAAATCAATCTATTATGCTTATCTCTCCTTAAAAAAAAAAAAAATCAACCTACTGATTTTTTTTAAATAAACTTTCCCAATAAAAGAATAATTTAAAACTAGTTAAAATTGAAAGTTAAAGCTATTCCCAGGATTCCTTGCCATTTTTGCTTCTTTGTCTTTTCTGGTTGATCTCTCCTCTCAGTTCCCAGAGTACTCATGATTCCCCAAATCTTCCCTGCAACCTCATTCAATTCTTGTTCCTTAGAATACTTCAGGCTTATATATCCTCTCATCTAAATTCACATTGTCTTAGTATGTTGAGTGAATGACCTGTCCTTCATACCAAGGTGTGATTGATTAGTTGATAACACGCTCAAGTGTTATTTCATCAGCAAGAGTGTGTTTTCACACATAGAAGGGCTCTGACAGTTGGCCAGTCTACCCTTTTGTAGAGCAAAGGCCATTTCTGGTTCTGAGGTGAGACCACCACCCATCTTTGACTCTTTGTCTAAAGCTTGATGTATCAATTAGGATGAGACCAATACCTAAACAGCAGCAAATAGCTAAGGGTTATTTTTCTCTGTGAAAAGCCAGAGGTAGGTAGCTGAGGACTGACACAGTGGCCCAGTGGTGTCTTCATTCCAGATTCCTTCCAGATTTCTGTTCTGCCATCCCTAGCACAGGGCTTTAATCATAGAAGTTTACCTCGTGGTTGCAATATAGCAGCTACAGTCATATTCTATCCCAGAAATAGATGGATGAGGAAGGGTAATGAGAAAAGGGACAAATTAAATGGAAAGTAAAATCAAACATAGGGCTGGAGGGGTAAACCAACCAGGTCTCCAGCAGTGATGAGGAGGATAGAGAAGGGGGGCGGGGGGTATTTAACACCGGCAGCATAAAGACCTGCTGGGAAGAACTTGGAATTCCACAAGTAAGACATGCTTACAGGTCTGAGTTAGGGCAGTAGCAGTGGGAGTAGAGTGAAAAGAGGATGAAACAGTTATCTACAAAAGAAAGTAAGTAGGAGTTGGTGATCAGATGTGAAAAAGTAGAAGAAATCAAAGGTGACTCCCAGGTTTCTGGCTTCATTTATGCAAAAGAAAATGCAGGAAATAAAGTTGGACACTGGAGATGAGATTTGGGTATATTTTGAATTCAAGATGCCTGTAGGCCATACAGATTCCAGCAATCAGTTGGGTGTGAATATGAAGACTGAGAGCGGTCAGGGATGGACAATAAAGATTTGCAAATGATCTGCAAACATACATATCCCCAAGGCAAAACTGAGCGGATGCAGTATCCTCTCCGAGGAAGCACACAGCAAAGGACTCAGTCCAATCCTGGCAACACCGGATTTAGAAGAGGTAGTGGAAAAGTCTCAAGACTGAAAAATCAAGAAGCTGGAAGCAAAACTAGGAGAGCGTGGCATCTCAGAATCCAAGAGTTCCAAGGAGGGAACAGCTAACAGGTTAGCTAACAGCTAACAGGATGTGTATGAGAAAATGCATGTGAAAGAGTTCTGTAAACAAGGAAATAGCATGTATTCACTGTTTTAAGCAGACACATTTTAAATATCAAAGCAAGTCCTGGTTTGAGACTCCCATTCATTGAGAGGAAAACCAAGATTTGGGCACCACCAATGGAAAGTTTCATTCCCTGACATCCCAAAGACACCAGAGGTAGCTTGGTAGGTCATGGTAGGTCATGGTAGAAGGCACATGTCATAATTGGTTATCATATGATTTCCCTGCATAAAATGTATCTCAGGCATTCATGCAAAAAAAGGAGACTATGGGTGGGGGAGCACCTGGGTGGCTCAGTGGGTTAAAGCCTCTACCTCCCGCTCAGGTCATGATCCCAGGGTCCTGGGATCAAGCCCTGCATCAGCGGGCTCTCTGCTCTGCAGGGAGCCTCCTTCTCCTCTCTCTCTGCCTGCCTCTCTGTCTACTTGTGATCTCTGTCTGTCAAATAAGCAAAAGCTTCAATAAATATAAATAAATAAATAAATAAATAAATAAATAAATTAAAATCTTCAAAGGAGACTCGGGCTGCAAGCCGGATTGGATAGCCAGCCCTGCCAAAGTGGGAACTTGGCACGGGCACAAGAAAGTTTTTTGAAACATTATATTTTTAAATGAAGGGAACATCAGAATTCATGGAGTTACATATTTTTGTTTCCTGTAAAAAATCGGAGGAGGACACTATAAATTTTCTGTCTTGGGGATTTTAAAGGTCAATCTACTCGTAGTCACAGTTTTTTTGTTTGGTTGGTTTTTAAAGATTTTATTTATTCATGAGAGACGGAGAGAGAGGCAGAGGGAGAAGCAGCAGGGAGCCACGGGCGGGACTTGGGAATCATGACCTGAGCCAAAGCCAGATGCTTAACCGACTGAACCACCCAGGCCCGCCGAGGTCTCCCTCTCTTTCTGAACCTGGGCGGGGAGCCTGACACCTTGCGAGGAGTGGCTGCCCGGCCGTCGCTCGGGTGTTCTGAGAGCGCGCGTAAGTGCCAAGGGTCTGCATACTGCGATAGGACCCGGGTGACCTTGCACTCCCAGACCGCTGCCCTGGGGTCCGGGCGGAGCCTCGGTGGGGGCGGGGCCTGCGGGAGGGGGCGGAGTCCGGCCCACCCAGGTTATAAAGACGGGCGGGGCGGAGCGCGCAAACAGCGCGGTGTTAGCAGCGGGAACCGGTTGCGGGAAGGTAAGGTCCGAGGCGGGGAAGGGCCCGAGCAGCAGCCCGAGCCTGCGGCTCCAGCGAGCTTAAGCCGGCGTGTGCGCTCACGGCCCGGGCGTCTGGGTCCGGGCGGGCGGAGGCCCCCGAAGCAGGCGGGTGCTGCGGCCGTCCTCTCCAGACCCCTCCGAGCCGCCCGCGGCTCGCAACATCCCTGCACCCGAGGCCTTTGGTGGCCTTCCTGGGACTCCCCAGGGAGCCCGGCGGAAAGCTGGCTTCCATTGTTTAACAAAAAGAGAAGGGCGGGGGGCGGGGGAGAAAGAGGGCGCTCTTCCCGAAACACCCCAGATTCCGCGCGCGGTGCCCTCCATGGCGCGGGCAGTATCTTCCCGGAACCCTGCCGCCTGCCGTCGCGTCACTGTAGGGAAGCTGTCGTAGCTTAGCGAGGGGGAATCGCGCCTTGAAAGGAGGTTAGCCCGCTCCCCTCTCAGGCGAGTGGTCACAGGCGTGGTCTAAACGTACAAATTTGGAATTGGGGAAAAGGACGGGGCCGAAAGGTAGACATTTTAAGTCCAAGTCTGGTGTGGCGTTTTGTTGGGCGGGGCTCCACCGCTCCCGGAGTCTGACAGCCGGGTTTTAAAGAAACGTTAGCTAGTGGTTTTTTGTGGTTGCTGGTGAGAAGCAGGCTCTCCCCGGATGCTGGAAAGGTGCCGTGTCCCGTTTGCCCCCTCGCTGGCACACACGCCCCGTGTCCGGGAAATGGCCTCTCGGAGGTGGCACACCGAGCGGGGCCATCTGTGACTCGTGCTGGCGGCTGCTCCTGACACTGTGCCCGCGGGAGGCCCCGTTTGTGAAACAGTACACCCCTCCGCTGGCCCCGATCATTTTATCCTTTTTGAGGGTGTTTTCCCGTCCGCTGTGTCCATTTTGAAGGCGCCGACGGCTGTGACCAGCTGAGTCTTAAAAAATCCTGTTCTCACCGGGTGGTGACTTTCCTAAAGAGGTCACGGGGGCCCCAGCGGAGACCTGGCTTCCCCACCCCTTTCACCTGCAATATTGCCACTTCTTTCTAAACAAATCAGCCCCTATTTTACCGATTTAGAGACACAGCGCCTCTGCCATGTTAGCGTGTGATAATAAATTTTTGAAAGGGAGGGAGAGACTTCAAAGTCAGTGGTTAACCCAGAGATGATTTGGTGTTCAGTTCACAGGGAAACACTTCTTTCCACCACTTTGTCCGGCCTTGTCTGGCTTAATCTGTTGCCTCTGGAAGCCGCCTAGAATCAGGTACAATTTGAAGCCTGGTGTGCAGTGAACAGAAGTGGTGAGTTTGCACTTCCCTACCAAGTTCGTGTGTCACAGGGTAGTGTTTAGGGGCCGGCCAATACCCCCGGGTTTGAACCTTGGCTCTGCTGTTTACTGGCTGGGTAATCCTGAGCAAGCTCTTCAGCTTCACCTTCATATCAGTAAAATAATAGACCCATTCTTCATAGGGTGTTATCAGAACTAACGGAGAAAATTAGTGGAAATCAGTGTGGCACCTGTTTGTGGAGAACAGTGATGGCTGTTAATATTTTAGGGACTGTTGCTGTGACCCCACAGCAGCTGTTCTTGTTCCCCACCAGGGCATCTCACTCCCAGTCCGCCAAGAAACCCACACCAAGCTCAGAATGTTCACTGAGGAGGAAGCAACATTTCCCCAAACTGTGGTTATTTACTGTGGTGGGAAGTGTATAATCCCAGGGTAGGGAGGGAGTAGCCTCCCTCAGATCCACACAGGCCTGTAACTTGGGGGTCCTGTGTTTTCAAAACAAAAACAGCAAACCTTTTGCCGAACCCTCATGTAAGGAGAACAGCCCATTATGCTGCATGGTTTGGAAGATAAAAGCCCACATTAAAAGGGCTTTGGAATGATGAGAGCTGGTGTGTAATGGAATTCGTCTTTCACAGCTACAGGTCCAAGCTTTTGAAAAGAAGCAGATTTTCAAAATTCCTGGAGCTATATCTTTGGGCCAGGCTGCCACAAACAAAGCCAAGCCCAGAGGTGCTTGAGGTTTTCCAAAGGGGAAGACATATTTTTACCTAAGCCCCCGATCTTTGTGCAGATCTTCGCTGAACCTTCCACTGTGCGAGCATAATCTCAAAGGGCAGGGCCTAGAGGAGGATCTCTCAGAAGAGGCCCTCTTGGGAAAGCTCCCCAGCACTTGGCGGCCCTGGAACAGATGGCAGAGGGGCCCTCCTGAGGCAAGCTGCCAATTCATGTGGTTTAAAGAGTTTTGGGGTGGTCATCTCTGCCAGCAGGACCTCAGGGTGGCTGGGAGGGGCTGGCCATTATGAAGGCGGCTTTCTCTTTGCCTCTGCCTTCTGATGCAGTGACTTCTTGAACTGAGTAGTTGATTTCTGTCTGGGCGTCTCTGCGCACATGGCCCCTGCAGGCGTGGTGTGTGGCCAGGATAAGTACGCAAAGCTCCAGGCCTCCTGACAGTATTGCTAAGCCCCACTTCTGAGCTACCAGCCCCTGCTGAATGGAAGTGGGTCCACCCTGTGTGGTTCTGCCACAGTTTGTTGCCTTGGGACGGTAATTTCATACCCTGGGCCTCTGAGAATTTTCCAGAAAATGAGCACATTGGGTTTTATTTTTAAGGACACTTCTAGCCTTAACAACGTTCATCAGCCTCTAAGGCACCACGGTCCTCGAAGCAGGGACGAAACTGCTGGGAGTCTCTTGCAACCGTGCTGATGTAAAGTCTCCTTTCCATGGCCTCAGCTTAACTATTTTATTTCAGAAGCTCAAATCACAAGAAGTCTCTCCTCCAGAGCATTTAACCTCAGACCTGGGTTTAAATGCTGCTCTATGTCCCAGTTTTCTATTGCTGCCGAAACAAATCACCACAAATTTGGTGGCTTAATGCAGATTTATCAACCTTGCGGTTTCCTATGTCAGAAGTCTGTCCCAGGCCTCACTGGGGCCGCGTCCTTTCTGGAGGCTTTTTTTTTTTTTTTTGAAGAGAGAGAGGGAATATGTGAGCAGGGTGAATAGGGGCAGAGGGAGAAGTAGAGAGAATCTTAAGCAGGCTCCACGCCCAGCATGGAGCCCAGTGCAGGGCTCGACCTCACAACCCTGAGATCAGGAGCTGAGCTAAAATCAAGAGTCAGTTGCTTAACCAACTGAGCCACCTAGGCACCCCAAGATTTTATTTTTAAGTAATCTCTACACCCAACATGGGACTCAGACTTACAACCCTGAGATCAAGAGTCGCATGTTCCACAGACTGAGGCCCTCTTGCTGCTTCTGTTTTCCCATCTCTCTTACAGACACTGCTGCCTTCCTCATCCTCTTCATTGTAATCACCCACGTGATTCTGGATAATCCAGAACCATCTGTAACCTTAACCTCCTCTACAAAGTCACTTGCCATCTAAGGTGGCCGGGGGATTAGGGTATGGACATCTCTCCAGAGAAGTGTTATTTATCCTATCTACCACTGTTGCCTTAGTTCAGTCCCTACCTCAACCTTCAGTTCCCTCCTTTGATAAAGGGAGACAGGGATTAAATTTACTTTACGGCATTGTGTGAGGATTCGGTGTAGTTACCACGTCAAACAGCAGCGCAGCAACTGGCCATAACTTTTGCTCACTGAAAGAAGTGTTTGCTTACCACTGGCATTCAGTGACATCGGACCCAGTGTCCTCACACGGGCCCATAAAAGGAGAAGCAACCTTTAATTATTTAATCAGAACGGACAGCTTCTCTCACAACATCGTGAGAGAAGCTTCCAACCCGATCTAAAGTAGCCTGACCCTTGTCCCAGGTCACCCACTAAGCCAGTGGCTCTCAGTGTGTACCTGGTTAGAAATGCAGAATCTTGGGTCCCGAAACCTGAAGAGTCAGAATTTCTAGATGGGACTCAGCATCTGAGCTTACCCGCCCTCCAGATGATTTTTTGGCCACTCAAGGTCTAGAACCAGTGCTGTGTCCTTATTTTATTTTCCTGCTAGTCTTTAGCGCTAGCTGGTGTCCACCTCTGGTAGCTTGCCAAGAGCAGGGCCTTGCCTGTTCAGCGGGTCACTAACGCAGTGCCTGGTAGGACACCTGCTCCCAGCAGACAGTTGTTGTCGAGACTGAAACTACTTCACAGTAGTAAAGAGACTCACTAGTGAATTCCTTTCTTTTGTTTCAGTTACATCATTAAATAGTTAGTGTGTTAAATGCTTTATAGTTAAATTCCTGTGGCTCGTTTAAATGGATGGATATTTGGAAGGACTGGTTGGGGCTTTTGGATGGACAGTAACGTGTCTTTGTTTTCCTTTTAAAATAATGGCATCTGGGGGAATAATGGAATCTAGGCTCACAATATCCATAAATTTGCTACCCAAAACGTTTTCGGGAACTTGACAGGGAATGCCTGTGCTTGTAAATCACCTTGCAATGTCTTAGCTTCCTTTTATGTCTCAGTGGATCCGAGTGAGTAAATAGTGATCAGGCTGACATGCATTTGTCCACTTGCTTCTTCCTTAACCTGCTATGTTTTGGTCCACATTGGGCTATGAACTTCTCAAGTCTTATTCTTATGTTTTATCATTATATAAAACCATATTGCCCTTTCACAACTGAGGAGTGGAAGTAAAGGGTTGTTGGACTATTTGAAGGTCGCGTGAGTTGGCGGCAGTGTGGGATTAGAATGTAGGTCTCGCCCTCTCAGGACTTCTAGAAAATCCCCTGAGCCTCATGTTTTACAAATACAGAGTATGACTAAAATAATTGCTGTCAGACAGACTCAGGAGAGTATGTGTACATGAAACCTTTTTTTTTTTAACCTCAAAGAAGCCAATTCTGAAAGGTGGTATGTATGTTTTATACCTAATCAGGTTCAGTAGTAGAAAAATAAAAAGTTTAGAAGCGACAAGTGAAATTGTTCATAAGTACATTATTACCCTGCTATCATTTCGAGGACTCTTTCTATAAAAATGTCTACTGTTAAGAGAATATATTTCGGTATGAATAAGCTACCGATAGTTCTACCATTCTTTCAACCACAGGTTCCGAAAATGTTCAGAAAAGGTGGTACTGTATTCTAAGCATTGTATCTTTAAGAAACAGGAATAAGATTATAACTTATCTTTTAGACTGGCTTTTTCCTTAATACTTAATTCCTCATGGCTGTGCACTCCTCCCAAGGAATTATAGACTCATTTGCTTCTAGGCACATCTGTTGCCAGATGTTTGCTATTTTAGACAATGGGTATGTATCCTTGAGTGAGTAAGGAGTGTTTACCTCATCCTGTGATGAGACGCCAGAACTTCTGAGTCAAGTGCAGAACCTCCCAGGAAAACCTGTCCAAACTCCCTGAGGCTGGCTTCAGGTGAGTTTTACAACCCCAAAATGGTGTTTCCACTGGGCTCACCCATCTTTATTCAGTGGACCTTATTCAGAGTGGCTGTGGTCTGTTTGCAGTCATTATATGCACTTCGGCTGTTTCGATGAGTTCACATGTTTGGAAAAGAGAGCGTTGAGGCCCTCTGGCTGCAACTTGCATGGAAGCATTTGGCGTGGGTGGGTTGGAGGAGTCAGTCCAGCTCCTCTGCCTCAGCCACCATCTGATGAACGTGCATCATTTAAAGTGTCCAGTGGGGGCTGTTTTAGACCAGGGGGAAGTATTTGAAATCAGGAGGTTCAGTTTGTTTGTGTTTTCATTCCAAGAAAGATTTGCCAAGGGGCGCCTGGGTGGCTCAGTTAGTTAAGCGTCTGCTTTTGGCTCAGGTCAGGATCTCAGAGTCCCAAGATCAAGTCCCGTGCCTGGCTCTCTGCTTAGCGGGGAGTCTGCTTTTCCCCACCCACTCTGTTCTCTCTCTCTCTCTCTCTCTCTCCCCCCCAAATAAATAAATAAATAAATAAAATCTTAAAATAAAATGGCTCTAAAGACTTACTGTAAAAAAGAAGAAAAGAAAAAAGATTTGTGAAAAGGTAGGTGATAGATGCCTCCCCGAAGGGAAACATTATGGGCAGATTTACCCAATATTTCTGATTATGGAAGTCATGCCTGGCTCCTGAGAGAACGGTTGAGGAAAGTATGGCAGAAAGCAAAGGGTCAGGAAGAGAAATAAGAAATCATAAGGAATCCTGCTTAGCATCCTCTACTGTCAACATTTGGGGGGCATTTATAAAATCGCTTGAAAACAACCAGGTCTTTCCCATCCTCTCTCGCCCCCAACTCCATAACAACGTTTTGCCCTAGGAAATGGTATATTTTTGTCATGGTTGTTGTTGAAGACTTGGTCCTACTTCAGTTTGAACAACTTCCCCTTGGTATCCACACACTAGCCCCTTGCTTCCTCCACGATCTCTGCCCTCCTGCAGCCAAGTCACCCTGTTGTGACCCTCAGCCAGCTGGGTGGCATGTTGAAACCAAGACCTGACACCCCTTCCAACCCAAAAAGCTGGGAGCTGCTCGATGTTTGGGGCCTGAGATGTCCGCGGTCCTTTCATTTCAGGGTGTTTGTCTGGGTTCCTCACCGACGGCTCCCTACTGCACCCACCCTCCCCCAGCCCTCACCCCCCAGCACCCCCTCCCTACCCAGCTGCTTCCTCCCGCTAACCTCACGACTTTGCAGTGAGGCTGTAGTGGCAACTGCTTTTTGAGCGCCTCCCGAGTGCCAGGCATTGTTCCCTGCGGTCTGTGTCCTTATCGCCAGGCTGGCTGAAGGAAGAGCAGCTCAGAGGTTGAGTTAACCATAGAAGTGGCAGAGCCAGAGCTGCCGGATGCCATGATTGAACTCTCCAGACCAGACTAGAAAGCCTCTCCCTTCCCCAGTTCTTGGCTTCTTTTCTGCTTTTGTTAAGAGATGAGCCTTTCTTAGGAGAGGTTCTTTGTCATGAGGTCCATCCAGGAACCCTGCTCCCTGTGGTGTGGCACCCTGTTTGTCTGTCGTGGTAGTGTCATTCACGCTAATGGCCACTCCGGCGGACCTGATTCCAGCAGTTCCCGCCAGCCTGATGCCTCTCCAGCTCCTGAGCCGGGTCGGGAGCTCCCTCCACCTCCTCCAGGGGGGACACTGGATGTTGTAGCCATTGTGCTCGAGTAGCTCCTGCCCCTCAGATGGATTCCTTCCTCTCCTTGCTCACTCGCAGGCAGCTGTTCTCCACAGACCTGAGCCCTGCCTCACTTGAGCATGTAAATCCTTCTCTCTCCCCAGAAACTCCTGAGCGAGAAAAGCTGGAGTGGGGAGCTGGCAGGGGGCTGAGGCCCGGGTCACTCACTGGTGAGGGGAAAGTGGCTGGGGCTCCAGGTGGGGGGCACGGGGTGCCAGCAGGAGGGGCCGAGTGAGGCCTCTTCCTCATCCGTTAGGGGGCAGAGACCTCAGGGCCCCAACCTCTCAGGGTCAGGGGCCAGGAAGAAAGACCTGCGGTTACTCAGATTCTCAAATGGGAGGTGCGGTAGACATGCACTTCCGGGTCAGGACACGAGGCCTGTGGGTGACAACCACCGCTTCCCTGTGCTTGGCTGTATCTCAAGCACGTACTCGTTTAACTTGTTTTATCCCATTGAATCCTCATGGTGTTGGGAAGCGCCTTTGCAACCCCTTGTTACAGCTGAGGTAAAAGTGGCTCGGGGGGGCAGTGACTGAGCTGGCCCTGAGGGCCAGGCCTCTGGTCTGCCAGCGTCCGAGCTCTCCACCGCTGCCCTTGGCCACCTCACGTCCTCACTGTGCAGGGTTGCTGAGGACAGCTAAGCCCCAGCAGGGTCAGCATGGGGGGTGGTGGCCATTCATAGGCTGTTGTAGATATTGAAGACCCCAGAGGGAAGAGGACGTTACTCAACTTGTAAAGGAAGGCCGGGCTCTGTTTGGTTTTCTTCTTGCGTCCCCCACCCAGGAAGGCAACCCGTCTCTTTCATCCAGGCATGACCTCCTCTGTGTTTTTGACTTTGGGTAATGCCAGAACCTGTTCTTTCTGCTTCTCAACCCTCCCCTGACCTTGATCAGTTTCTGAGCAGCAGATGACCTTCAGAGATATAGAGATGACATTCCTAACAAGGTGGGGGCTGTTCACCCAGCCAGAGCCCCGGGCTGTCCCGGCCTGTGGGGCTGAGAGGAGGAGAGCATGGGCACCCTGGTTTAGAGGCGCTCTTGCTTCCTTGTTTTGGGGTGGGGTCAGGGAAGTAGTGGTGGGATTGGGAGACCCCTTAGATCTGCCACTCATGGCTTAGACTTAGACAACAAGAAACTGCTCTGTGTTTTAGCTTCCTTGTCAGGTGAAAGGAGGGTTTGAGTCATTTCAGCCCTCCCGTTTCCTCCCCTGATGCTCACTGCCACACACGTAGGCATTAATGTAAGGGCACTGGTCATCGAAGTTACCAGGACCCCTCTTTACTTCCCCAGAGGGGAGGAGGTGAACAAGGCGCTGTCTGCATCACGCTTGCTAAGACGGGGAGCCAGAGCTTCTGGGCCTGCTGAACCCTTGCTTCCTCTTCTGTGCAGAAAGCCTGCCAGTGCCCTCCAGGATCACCGCTTTGGTCTGACACACTTAGTGGCGTGGCCTGGAGAGATGGCCCTTGCTAGGCCCCCATGCTCAGCCAGCAGCTTGGGGTGGGCCAGCACGGTGGGAATTATAGTCGCAGTATTATTTTTCTCGTATTCTCATTTGACTCAACAGCCCTTATGGGGAAGAGAGCATTATCCCCACTGCATGATCACGACCACTGCAACTTGGAGGGACTGAAGTTTAGTCAAAGGTAACTCTTTTCTCCTGGCCACTGTAGGTGGGAGCTGGAGCAGGGCCTGGCTCTTGCTGACACTTGGCCCGCTCTGCGTTGACTCCCGGTAGCTGCCCCTCTTGCCAGGACGGGGAGCATTTCTTCAGTAACCTGAGATCTGGGGGCAAGAGGAGGGACCAGGAAAGTACCTTGGCTCATAGCAACCCAGACCAATTTTTTCTGTGCTAACTCCTTCCTTATGTTTCCTGAAGGCTCCAGGCCTTCCTCCTGTTGGTTTCTGAAATAGCCAGCAGTCCTTTGTGGTGCAAGACAACCCTCTGTGTCCCTTCCTTGCAGATTCTGTGGACAATCACAATGGGAAGCAAAGGAGGCTTCATCCTTCTGCTCATCCTCGCTGTGCTCTGCCGTTCAGGTGAGTGGTCCGGGGGCCATGGATTTAGAGCATCCAGGTCACCTTGTCAGAAGCTTCCTTTTTCTTAGGCCTCAGGGAGACGGAGTGGATGCCACTGGCCTCGGACCTGGCTTTGCTTCTTTTGCCTTCCAGTGTGACAGGTCTAGGGCTGTGTGACAGTTCCTTCCTACATGACATTCTTGCTCTCCTTGGAGCACCTTCCTGAGTGACACCCCATCCTGGGTGACAGTAGCTTTCGGGGGAGAGCAGGCCTGGGGGTACACGTAGCAGCTAAAGTTTCTCCCTCTCACCAGCTGTTGGCGACCCCAGTGGGCCCCAGCTTTAAAGTGCTGAGCTCCTTCTGCACGGGGGCGACTGCTGTATGATAATGATGAGGACAACGATGACGATCTTAGAAGCAGTGGCAGCAGCCCGTTCGCAGCATTCATGTGCCTACTGCTGTCCTCAGCATTTTGTGTGCACTTGGTTACTGAATCCTCATGTCAGCTCTGTGAAGTAGGTCCTGTTTTTGCCATCATTTTAGCAATGAGCAGAGTAAGGCCAAAGAGATGAAATAATTTGTAAAATGTCACACACAAGTGGTGCAGCCCGAATTTGAGCCCCAGTGGACTGGCACCAGAGTGTGCTCTGAACTCCTTCCCAGCCACCCCTCCCTGGTTCCTGGAAGTAGTTGCATGTTCCCGAGTCTTAGTTCTTTAATGGTAGAAACACCTTTGTTACTTGGGTGCCTGGGTGGCTCAGTCCGTTAGATGTTCAACTCTTGATTTCAGCTCATGTCCTGACCTCAGGGTCGTGTGACTGAGTCCCAGATCAGGCTCCACACACAGTGGGGAGTCTGCCTCTCTCTCTGCCCCTTCCCCTGCTCACTCTCTCTCTCAAATAAATAAATAAATCTTAAAAAAAAAAAAAAGGAACAGCTGTGTTACTTGCTTTGCTTCATGATAAGGATCAAATGTTTTTTTCTGCCTTTGGTTAGTTCGGCCAGTTTTTCAGAGGTTTTTTTTGGTGGGGGAGAGGCAGAAAGGGAAGTAGCAATGCAAGGAGCAATGAAGAGATCTCTGCCGCGTCCGTTCATGTCTTAGATACTGTTAGCGTTAGCAACTACCCTATACCGAATTTTTTCTGTGTCCTAGGGATGGTGCCAAGCCTAGTCTTGCTTAAACCTTCCAGCCACCCCATGAGGGATCTTTGTTGTTATTCCCATTTTACAGTTGAAGGAACTGAGGCAAAGAAGGAATTTGCCCAAGGACACGTTTGGATATGCTTTCCCTTTCTGAGAAAAAAGAGCCCTCATGACCTGTCCTCCCCACCTCTGTTACTGGCACCTGGGGTTGGTGGTGATGGGGCTCACGACATGCTCATCTCTGTTCTTCTGCCCGGTGTATTTCCTGTGATTAGAATCGCCTCCTCGTGCCCAGTCTTCCCCAGTAGGCATCTGCTTGGGTGTGGGGCCGGCGCCCATGATGTGACAGGTCCCCAGCCCTTCCACAGAGAGTCAGGGTCCGTCCGGAACTCGAGCCCACGCGGGGAGACGCTTCCCTGGCTGCTGCCTGGGCTCTGAGGAAAATGCAGGGAATCCTCCCTCTCACCTCCATTAGCCCAGAGTCGGATCCCCTCACAGTTTGTGCCCTTTCCTTTCCTGCTCTGGACTGTTAGAAGAACGTCACAGTTAAACCACACTCGGGTTTCAGAACTGATGGCCTGGGTTTGAGTCCCAACGCTCCCTTTGTAACGTGGGAGATCTGGTTTTCTCTTCAAACACAGAGCTGGAGGTCACAGAGCCTACCTCTCGTGACAATTCTGCCAAGATCCAGAACTTAGCCTGGAGGTATACGGGATCCCTGCACACCCCAAATGAACACGTTAGCTGTATCTCTGCCCCACAAAAAGTTAAGGGTGAGCTTTGGTTCCTCTGTTTTCAGCGGGTTCTCTAGAAGCCAAATGAGGTCTGGCTTTAGCCAGGAGAAGTCAGTCCTCAGAACAGCCTTTTCAGGTGTCCCTCCCAAGTATCCAGGCTAGAACATTCTTCCCTCTTATATCCTCCCCTCCCATGCACGTGTACGCATCTGGAACAGGGAGGGGACTGCAGAAAGATCACATCTTCGTCCCTTCCCATGGTGGCTCCCCTCTCACATAGGCACGACTAACACTAACAGTGGGAGGGAGGAGACAGAGTGGGCTGTCGGAGCCCAGCCCCTGGGTGTGGGGGCTGGCTCCCGTTGTGCTGCTTTGGGTGTCCTTCGGGTGTCCATGGGTGAGCCCCTTCACTTCTGCAGGCATCTGTCTTGTCATCTGCAAACAAAGCGAGCAGGGGAGCTTTTTTGGACTGACATTTCAAAGGTTAATCTGGAACCTTCATAAGTCAGAGGGCCCCGTGCAGGATGGGATTTCACACCGGGGAAGGCAGTGTGGCCATTTTATATGTTACAGAGAGCTTGATTCCTGTGGTGCTCAGATAGTGACGAGCCACCTTCTTCTGGCCTTCTGGAGAATTCCCCTGCCCTGTGTGATGAATGTAGGCTTTGGACTTAGAACTACGAGTCAGCTCTTGGGTTCTAAAACCCACACTTGGTCTGGGTTTAACATTACATTCTTCTATGAGATTTTACAGATTTCATTTTTGAAAATGTCTTTTCACACAGATAGGTACTACCGGATAACTGAGTATCAGTCTAGGAGAATGTGATCAAACAGAGCGTAGTCATGGCCTGGAAGGCATTTATAGAATTCTGTTAGTTTTTTCTCCTGATAGTTTCCTTTTAATATCTCATTACATTACAGATTAAGCATTTCCTTTTTGTTTTTAAATCACTTCTAGTTGAAGGTAAGAGGAATCTTCTCAATTGCCTGGTTATGTGGATTTTATTTATTTATTTATTTACTTTTAAAATGTTATTCACTTATTTGTCAGAGAGAGGTGGGGGGAGGCACAAGCAGGGGGAGCAGCAGGCTCTCTGCTGAGCAGAGAACCGGATGTGGGACTCGATCCCAGGACCCTGGGATCATGACCTGAGCCGAAGGCAGACACTGAACCGACTGAGCCAGCCAGGTGTCCCAGTTATATGGATTTTGAAATATGGAGATTCCTTTTGCACTTCTATCAGGGTCCAAAAAATGCTGCTGGAACTGTAGTTTGAGGTTGGAAAAATGTATCTGCTACGGGTTTGTGTGGGAAGGGAAGCATGCCGTGAGTTTCTGACCTCGGCCCCAGACCAGTGGCAGTGGTGGGCTCTCTTTTGCTGTCAGGAGGACAAGTCATTGGTGATCTTACAAGCACTGACAGATTTTGTTCCTGACTCTAGGTCATAGCCTGACATGCTACACCTGTATTGACGTTGAAACCTGCAACAAGACCGCTGTTTGTTCAGTTAATCATGATGCGTGTCTGTTGGTCAAAGCTGGTAAGAGGGCGCCCCTTTCCTATCTCCTCAGGGTAATGGGATGATGAGGGCACGGGAAAAAAATGTGTGTCACACTCATTCTCATGAGACCTGCATTCAACAAGTAACGGTTACCATTTAAGAAGTAAAAATAAAAGCACCCTTCATGCTTATTCTATTTTTCTACCCTCTACCACAAAGTCCTTCTAGGGGCATCATCAGGGAATAAGCTGAACATGTCCGCTAGACTCAAAAGGATCAGGAGACCCACAAGTTCAGAAAACCCTGATAGAAAGGTGGAGAAGATTAATTTCCCTAGAAAGGAGAAATCCCTCAATAAGTAAGGACACATCAGCATTATCCTGTCAGACTGGATGATCTGATGATCATTTTGATGGAAAGTCCTGGAATGTGGATAAGATTCCGATTCCTATATGGGAGGTCCTTGATTCTTTTGGGAGACAGGTCCTCTGCTTCCAGAGGAGCATAATCATTCATTATTAATCCGGAAAGCACAGTAAGGCCCCTGGATAGAATGTAGCTGTTCATTCCACAGATATTGGAAGACCAGTTATGAGTGAGTACATCCGTCAAGTTAACCTTGATCATCTGTGTCTCTTGGACCTCCCCACTACAAGAAGTGTAATTTCCAAATGAGAGAATAAAGGCAATATTATGTGTAGAGAAAGAATTAGATTCACAGTTAGGAGCTCTGAACTCCAACCTCTGTCCTGCCTCCAGAGTTTTCTCTGACTGTGGCTTTTGATTTATGAAATGTGTACGTTGGATGGTCGAGGAGAGGAGGTAGAGTAGAGCCAGAATTTTTTCCCAGCTCTCAAATCCCAGTGTTAATTACTGGATTGTTAAACTTTTATCGAAAAATTTTCCAACTTGATTGAAGTATAATTGACAGGTAAAAATCATGTATACTTAAGGTGTATAGTGTGATGATCTGAAACTCTTGTCCACCGGGAAATGATTACCGCAGAGGTCTCATTAATACATCCATCAGCTCCCATAGTTACCCCTTTTGTGTGTGATGAGAACACTAAGATCTGCCCTCTTAGCAAATTTCAAGAACGTAATACAGTATTAGTGACTAGCCCCATCACGCTATATATGAGATACCCAGAGCTTACTCATCTTACAATGAATTGTTCAGCTTTTAAAAGTGATTCATGCAAATAACAAGACACACCTATTCAGAGTGGCCAGAATCCAGAAATGCTGGCAAAGATGTGGTGCAGCGGGCGCTCTTGTTCTCTGCTCGCGGGAAGGCAGAATGGTACAGCTTGGCATTTCTTAATAAGCTAAACATACTCTCACCCGTGATTCAGTAGTCACTGAGTATTTACCCAAAGAGATTGAAAACCCATGTCCACACAAAAACCCTCACACAGATGTTTGTAGTAGTTAAGACTTGGAAGCAACCAACATGTCCTTTGGTGAGGGAATGGGTCAATGGACTGTACGTTGTAGTGCATCCAGACAGTGGACTAAAAAGAAACGAGCTATCAAGCCATGAAAAGACATGAAGGAAATTTCAATACATATTAGTGAGTGGAACAAGCCAATCTGCAGAGGCTACATCGTGGATCATTCCAGCTGTAGAACATTTTGGAACAGGCAAAACAAGGAGACCATAAAGAGGTCAGCGGTTGCCAGGGGTTATTAGGAAGGAGGGAGGGATGAAAAGGTGGAACACGGGATTTTAAGGCAATAAAACGACTCTGTAGGATACTGTATTGGTGGATATTTGTCCTGCTTTGTCAAACCCCATACGACACCCAGAGTGAACCCAGTGTAAATCACAGACTTTGAACAGTCATGGCGAATCCATGTCACTTCGTCAGTTGTCACAAGTAGACCACTCTGGCGGGGGATGCTAAGAACAGGTTCTTTAGGGTAGGGAGGGGTCCCAGGGGGCTAAATGGGAACTCTGTACTTTCTGCTCAGTTTTGCTGTGAATCTCAAGCTCCTCTAAAGAATAAAATCTATTTTTTAGAAGGATAATATGAATCTTAAATATTTTTCTTCTTTATGAACTTAAGTCCCAAGACATCAGCTTGACATGGGATAATACCAGTTCTGGAAATAGAGAAATTTCTGACCTCACAGTAAGACAGATCCTACCAGAGCACCTCAGTCCCCCTCCAGCTCGGATTAATGTCACCTGGGAGATGCATGGCACACTGTCCCCACAAACATGAGTCAAAAGTCAGGTACTCCAGTGGAGAAATCACTCCACTGCTCTAGCCATACCCCACCCCCTCCCCTGCTGTAAAAGAAAGGAACATTTCTCTCCCGGGGTCAGTGGATAGATAGAGGAGAAAAGGGTTATGTGGGTGCTGTACAGATGAAGTCTAGAAGAGAGAGGCAGGTGCTGGGTGTTCGTTCAGCCACTATTTACTGGCATCCCAGCCAGTCCCAGATCTATAAACCATGTGCTTATTAGACTCTGGCATAAGCCTTTGGTGATAGCACCCAGTGATCGTTGCCGGGATAACCTCCTGAATCAGGGGTGGGCGTAGAGTTGCCAAGGACAATGAGGGACTGTTTCTTGGTGATGTTAGACTCAAACTGCAGTCTTCAAAGAGATCAGGGATGATGTGCCCAGCAGAGAGAAACTCTAACATTCCAGGGACCTCTGATAATCCACTTTATTTGGGTAATTCTGCTAGTGGCCTGGTGAGGCGCTCTCCATCGCAGGTTGTTACGCAAATGAGATCATTGAAGTAGAATCCTTGGCTCACTGCAGGCCACGAGTAAATGATTCATTGGTAGCAATTATTAATCAACCACTGTCAGCTTTCTCCAGGCTGTTAGGCGCCTCCAGTTAAAATTATGGGAACGTGAATGTTTTTCCAGCTCCAGTTCCTCGTTAGGATCACGTAAGGCAGTAACTCGTGCCATTCAACAGCATCCTCTAGTTCAATATTAGAAGCATCCGCTTAAGTACTTATCAAAAATAGAGGCCCTGGAACAGTCTGTGGCCTCTGCCACTTGACCAGACTTCGTCAGAAGCCAGCCCAAATGCTCGTCCCCTCTGAGGCGGAAGATGGAACAGTTGCACGGGCAGTTACAAATATAGTTAAGTTCCCAGCTATGAATGAAATTAAGTTAGTTACAACAAGTCCTTAAGAAGGAAATAGGCATTTGTATGGGTTTTTTGTTTTTGTTTCTGTGTTTTTTTCTTTCCAGCATAGAGGATAATAAGAGAGCGATCCCAGGGCCAGCACTGTCCCTTCTCTGTCGGGGTGTGTCCAGCAGCTAGCACGCCATCTTGGTGCACACTTATTTTTTGGAGAGGAAAATTGACCATAATGCTTTTCAACCAGCACACTGGTTTTCCCTTAACATAATTTTTCTGAATATTCAAAAACCACAATAAGATACTTGGCATAGATACTTTGGGCCTTTATTTTTCAAAGTGTGTAGAAATTGGGGGCCATAATGGCATGTTTTTTGGGAAACTCTTCCTGTATTACTGAATCATCTAATGATTTTTAAATGAAGTTTAAAATATTTTGAAAATAAATCCACCCGATGACTTTAAAAAAAAAATCTCAATTCATATGGAAATATATAAATGAAGGGTAGTCTTCTGGGAAGGCAACCCCAAGAATCCTAAGGAATCTTTCCAGAGAAAATGAATGCATTTACCCCCAGACATAGACTTCATTTATGCATATGGCCCCTGTTCTATATCCTGGTCTGCATCCATTCTATCAAGATCAGATTCCTATACCAGAAAACGTACATTTTACAGTGTACAATTCAGTGGCTTTTAGTATACTCACAGAGTTGCACCAGTTTCACCACTGTCTAACTCCAGAATATTTTTATCCCGAAAAGTAATTGCACACCCATTAGCAGTCCCTCCCCTCCACTCCCTCCCACACGCCCTGGCAGTTACTAATCTATTTGCTGTCTCTGTGCATTTGCCTGTTCCGAATTTACTGGAAACTGAGTCATGCAATGGTTGTGGCCTTTGTGACTGGTTTTTTCCACCAAGCAGAGTGCCTTTAAGGCTCACCCATGCCATGGAAGGTATCAAGACTTCCAATCCTTTTTGTGGCTGAATCACACTCTACTTTTTGTTGCTCCATTCACTTGTCTTCTGGGTTTCCACTTGGTCGCTGTTTTGAGTCATGCTGCTCTGAACAAGCTTTTGTGTGAACATAGTTTTCAGTTCTCCTGGGTAGACCCTGCGTAGAAGTGGAATGGCTGGGTCATATGGTAACTCTTTTTTTGGTTTTGTTTTTTTTTTTTTTTTGAGTATAGTTGACACAATATTACGATAGTTTCAGGTGTATAACCTAGGGATTTGACAAGTGTGTGCGTGATGCTGTGTTCACGAGTGTACCTATCACGTGTCCCCTTATACCGCTGTTACAGTATCGTTGACTGAATTCCCTATGACATGTGTTCCTTAACTGGACGCCTATATCTCGCTCTCCCCTTCACCCGTTTTTACCAACCACCCACTCCTTCCCTCCTGGTAACTACCAGTCTATTCTCTGTATTTATAGGTCTAATTCTGCTTTCTATTTATTTATTTATTTGTTTTTTAGATTCCACTTATGAGTAGAATCATATAGGATTTGTCTTTTTCAGTCTGTACTGAGTATAGTACCCTGAGAGCATAGTACCCTCCATGTATGTTGTCTCCAGTGGCACGATCTCATTCTTTTTTTATGGCCACATGATATTCCAGTGTGTGTGTGAGTGTGTGTGTGTGCGTGTGTGTGTACCACATCTTTATTCATCTATCAGTGGACATGTGGGCTGCTTCCATGTCTTAGCTATTGTAAATAATGCTGCTATAAGCATAGGGGTGCATGTATCTTTTCAAATTGGTGTTTTTGCTTTCTTTGGGTAAAGGCCCAGCAGTAGAATTACTGGATCATAATGTATCTGTAACTCTGTTTTTTAACTTTTTGAGTACTTGCCAGACTTTTCCAGAGAATCAGTGCCATTTTGCCTTCCCACCAATGGTGGAAACAGGTTTCCAGTCTCTCCACTTCCATCATCAACCCTCGTTCTTTTCTGGTTTCGATATGACGGTTAAAGCCGTCATATCGGGTGTGAAGGAAAACTCACCGTGGTTTTAATTTGTATTTTCCTAATGACTGATTATATCAAACATCTTTTCCTGTCCTGCTGGGCCATCTGTGTATCTTTTTTGAGGAAATCTCTGCATCTTTTGCTCATGTTTGTATTTTCATTATTGAGTTGTGAGAGTGTTTTCTATAGTCTGGATACTAGACTCATCAGTTATATGATTTGCAAACATTTTCTCCCTTTTTGCAGGTTGTCTTTTGTTTCCTATAGTGCTCGTTGAGGCACAAAAGTTTTTAATTTTGATGGAGTCCAATTTATCCATTTTCCTACATTTCTTTAAACTCAGACTCCACTTTGACACATGCAGGACTGTGTCCTTCCTTACCTACCTGGACTTCCATTGTATGGAACTCTGCCCTGATTTCTTCAAATGTTTCTTTAGTAATGGACTGATTTTTGTCTTTTAGTTTCTTGCTGTGACAGACAGTGATGCCGTGACCATTCTCAAGCATCTCTCTTAACCTTTTTCACAAGTGATGTCCTAGAGTAAATTCTAGAAGTAGGATTGTTGGATCAAAGGGCAAATGGGCTTAAAAATCGTATCAAACCTCTAATAAAACATCAGCTTGATTGGCTGTTGCAGCACAAACTCTCCGGGCTCTGATGAATTAGGGAAAAGTTCCGCCTTGAGCTGTATCATCATTTGCCTAGTTGTTCCCTTTTCCAGCCCAACAAGGATACCCGTTCCCACCCAGATGTCTCTACTGCTGGAAGTGGCTCTGTTCTAGGAAATAGAACCGAGAGGTCAGAGGCAGGTACAGAACTGTCCCCGCTTGCTTGCTTACCCTTGTGTGTGTCTTTCCCCCACAGATCCAAAAGTTTTTTACCGCCAGTGTTGGAAGTTTGATGACTGCAGCTACCTCGCCATCTCCAAAGCCCTGGGGCTGAAAAAGCTCGAGTACAGCTGTTGCCAGAAGGACCTGTGCAACGGGAGTGCCAGGGTCTCCGGGATGACAGCGTTGATGCTGTTCCCCCTGCTGGCGGCAGCCTTGACGCTTTGTCTCTAAATAACACTGGGAGGCCTTCTCCTAAACTGTCCGTGTCTTTGTATATTCCTCATTTCCTTGGCTGCTGCATGCCCAAGGCTTTATTTCACTTGTCCCGTTGGGCAAGACTAACACTAGCTTGGGCAACTTGGTGACGAGAGAGACTCTGAGAGACGTTGAAGGCCAGTCCTGTGGGCAGCGAAGACCCATCGGAGGGACACGGTGTAAAAGGGTGCAGCGCGTGCGATCTGAGCTCCGCCGCACGTTTCTTCCTTGGCTTTTCGCAAGAGCAGCCTCGCAGGGACAGCTTGAGTACCTCAGATCCTCTGCAGGGCCCCGTCATGGTCATTTCCCCTCCGATGGCTTGGAGGTGGTTATTAAGTACTCTGATCTGGCGGGGAGGGCGATGGTACTGGGACAGGGGGTTCTTTTCAATAGCCTCTCCCAGGGAATGCTTTCATCCTCTCCCTTTATGGCATCCGCACTGCCAAGCAGGCCCGACCACGCTCCCACATGTGGGCTGTCAGGGAGGGGCCGTGAGATTCTCAGTGCTGGGTGATCGCAGTGACCTTTGTAGTCTCAACTTGCGGGTGTCTGGCAGGGACAGAGGGGAGCTTTCCACATGGCAGGGCCTTGAAACCCCCCCCCCCCGGTCTGTCTTCCAAGAGGTAGCAGTGGCTAAAATCTGAGTTTTCCTCTATCGCTCGGTTGTGAATGGGCTTTGCTTGTCTGCAGTAGAGAAACTTAACAGCATCTAATAATGATGTGTGAAAACTATCCCCCCAACTTTTGTATTGGATTGGTGGAGTATCTTAGCTTTGTCACACGCAGTTAAAGACTGAACGTTGGGACATTATTTGTTAAAGATGACTCGTAGTATTAAGGGTTCCTATTTTAAGTAGTAGCGGTAGCAAGTCTCTTCATTTGCGTCTGGATGCTGTGTGAACCTGGCGGCAGGATCCTCTCAGGCTGCAGCCGGGGCCTCCAGATGTCCTCGTGAACAGCAGCAGGGGTGCGTTTAGCCGACACCTGGCCTGCGTTGCCCCCTGGTTGACTTAGCACAATTTGCTGAGGAGACATTTGTCAAGGTTATTAGCATAATAACCAATGTTGAGGCTTTTGGAAGCACTCCCGGTTTCCTAAAAAGTGGTACACCTTTTGAGGAATAGTTTTGCCTTTTTCTTGGGGCTGTTGCTGAATAATTCGCAAGATCCAGCGGATGGAAGGACACTTGTTTTCTTATCATCTTGGCTGTCTCCAACAGCACAGCTTGGCTTTTTGCAGATGAAGGTGGAACTTCAGGATTAACATTTTTTTCACTTCCTTGCTCATGTAATCTGCATAACAGGCTGGAATGACTGATGCCTTTCTGAAAATAAAATGTAATCAAGTGCATGGGTGTGGTTCTTGGCCCAGAAGGAGAGCAGTGTCTGCCGGGTGCCCAGGGGCAGCAGGAGAAAGAGAGTCTGTGCCGTGTCTGTCAGCTTCCTCCTGTCCACGCCTGACCTCGAACAGACACACGTTGGGACTTCCTCATCAAAACCTAGCACTGTCTTGGTGCTCTGGGTTCCCAGTGTCTTTTCTCACATCGTCTTTCATTCTCTTGTCCAAGACAAAATACCACAGGGAACTCTTTCCTCACTAGGCCTTCTGCCCAGGGAGGTCCTGACCGTGCGCAAGGCCCCTGGCTGAGCAGTGCAGTGCCTCTCCCAGAGGCCTTTAGGAAACAGAACCAGTTTTGACTCACTTATGCAGAAAAAAGAATCTGGGGGAGCCTTTGAGGGAGAATCCAACCAGACTACAGCAAGCCAGGGTTTGGGCAGTTCCAGGATGTTCTCTCAACATTCGGATTCCAGGGGGGGACTGTCTGGCTGCCGTCTTGGGTCCTGTGCCCACACTGGGGCCAGAGGGCACGAAGAAAGGAATGATTTTCTAAAGCAGAATCTGAGCGCTGTTTAGTGGGGAGTTGGGGAGGGGGCTCCTGGGAGCTAAAATCAGCAAGGGTTGCAGTAAATGGCCTTAAGCTTTGAGGTTTCTTTCTGCAGAAAGTTTTACTATGTTTCACGCCATGGACCGAGCATTGGGTGTCTTGACCCAAAGGCAATACTGCAAAGACCAGGTGAGTGGGGAGTCAACAGCCTTTGTATGGCTTTATAGGAACCTTCATGTTGGGTTTAATATTGGGTGGTATTAACCACATGGGATTTTTCTTCTCTCTCAGAGAATGAGGTATGGATGCAAGATACACCCAATGGGTAGTAAGTGGAACGCCTCGTGTCCCAAAGGATGCTGACCCATTGTCCAACTTAATCTTGATGGTACTGAGCCTCAAGGTATGGGTCTATTTCCCCCGTGTCCTTGTAGTGGGACTTAACAGGTAGTGTGTGTCCTTATAAGAGCCTGCCTAGCCCACATGTTTTGAACCTTGGGTCTCTCTTTTTTTTTTAAAGATTTTATTTATTTATTTGGCAGAGACACAGCGAGAGAGGGAACACAAGGAGGGGGAGGGGGAGAGGGAGAAGCAGCTTTCCTGCTGAGCAGAGAGCCCATGCACGGCTCCATCCCAGGACCCTGGGATCATGACCTGAGCTGAAGGCAGATGCTTAACCTCTGAGCCACCCAGGCACCCCAGGACTTTGAGCTTCTTGAGAGCATGAACCTTGCTTTACATGTCTGAACCCTCCTTGGGGCCTGATGTATCATCCTGCACATGGCAAGTCCCTCGTCAGTGGTCAAAGTCCGCCAGCTCATGCTGGGTAGGTTTGTCTGCAAACAGAGCTGAACTAATGCTAACATATCTAAGAGATTCTTAATGGGCTGGGAAGGCACAGAGCTTACCAGAAGTAGTACGGACCAGACATCCTCTCTCTTGAGGGGAACTTGATGGTGTGGGGTTCTCTGCTCTGGGTTTCACATGTATTTCCGTCTGTGCTATCATCATCTCACTTTGATTAAGAGAAAACTACATTTGGAGAAATTAGCTGAATTGCTCCCAGTGACCAAGGTTACACGTTGGAAAGTCTAGGGTTCACACTCAGCTCCCCAAGTTAGCCACTCCACTGCCCTGTGACCTTTAGCACATACCAACGTGACTTTGGGGGACATCCTGGAAGGAGAGCCGGGTGCTTTCTTGCTTTGAAGCGATTGATTCCTGCCTCTTCTTAGAAACAAAAACGTTAAATACAGTTGTTTTCACTGAACAGTGAGGTTAGCCAACAGGGTGAGCTTTATAGAACCCAGATAGGCCTTTCTGAAAACACGATATAATTCCAAAATACAGTTTGCCACAGTCTGTTTCCAAGGCCCACTGCCTCGTAATTATTTCATTTTAGGATAATAGCAGTTGAGGGCGTGGATTTTGTAGTTGGAAACCCGGGTTCCGATCCTGTCTCTGCCACGAATTGGCTAGGTCTCTAGACAAGTTTTTGGACCCTCTCTGAACTCTGGCTTCCTGCTCCTAGCAGTGAGGCTTGCGATCTTGCATTTGGAAAGTTTCTGGCAGGAAGTGGGCTATAATAAAAACACAGGTTACACGGAGTCCGGAGTCTGGGGTGGTTAAACGAAAGAAATCTGAGAATCTCCAGTGAACACATTGTTGCATTCCCTCCACTGGCTTTGGCAGAAGTAGAAAATGACCAGAGATCTTATTTTCACATTGCTTAATACCCGTTTATGCACCCTAAGATTCTTGGTGAAACTAAAGCTTCCTATTTATATACACATTATTTTGGAGTAAAGTAAATAATCACAGAACTTCTAGCTGGGTACCTATGAGGCTCCATTGTGGCTAAGGATGCTCTCCTTTTCCCCAGCAGCCATGCAGGTCCATAGCCTCTGGGAGAGGAGGGGCAACGGGGGCAGGGGGATAGGGAGACAGCACAGATCCTGCACGGCACAGGTGCACTGAACGGGGAAACACAGTTCTTATGTTGTGCAGTGAGGACCTTCATCTCTGCGATCGGCTTCCCTGAGGGTGTTGCTATCCCCATCCTCGCCGTCCTTGGCTCTCTGCAAGCTAGCCGACCCCATTAGGTCGATCCCATAAACAGACCATACTCATGCTGGCTCAACTAACGCCACCCAATCTGGCTTCAGGTTTTATATATGTCAGGCAACCTACAATGTCAATGCTGCTAAGACGCAGTGGTCCTCCTCCAAAGCAAACAGCTCTCGTGCATTGGTGTGACACGGTGTTATGCCAGAAGTGGAACTGAGAGTTCGTAAACTCTACTGCTCTAGACAAAATGGGACGGCACTGAATTTTCAACCCTGGAGTGTCGTGGTCACAACTTGAGGGCTTACCGTGTGCTGGGCACTATGCCAAACACTATGTGTACAAGTTCACTTAATTTTTCTCCGTAACTATGACTAGTATTGACTGTCTATCCCCAAAGTCAGGTCCATCTGCACCATATGTCCCTCTGTTCTTTTTGGGTGCTCGAATTAGTTTGAGAAAGTTTCTGTTCTTTGCAGACAAATATCCCCCACCAAGACATCTACTAGTGAAAAGGGTTAACTGACAGTTGCTAACTAAACCACCCTCCTCCCTGAGCTATGGGGAGCAGGTAAAAAGCACACTAAAGATTGGGATGGAGATAACATGTGTATAAGAGGTGAATAATGTAGCTTTGGCCCTTTTTCAAGAGGTGGGTTAACAATAAAATCCCACCGTGACAGTCCTTTACTTAAAGGCAGTACCTTTGCAGCATGGTCCTAGAAGGGTCTGTTTCTTGGCCCCTGAGACCGACTAGCTCAGAGGCTTTGAACTTACTATGTCACCACCCGAGCCTCTGTGTCATCACCAGCTGTAACCACGGCACCTATCCTCAGGAACAGTGGACTTTCAGCCTCCCAGCCTCTGTTGCCCCCACCTTCTGGTAGCAGGAGCATACTCACCTTTTAGGGAATTCCTTCTACTCTGTAAGTGCAGTGTTGCTTGGATTGTTAGTAAAAGTAGCCTACCCTCCTCCAGCCAAAAGTTGGGCATGTTCTCACCTGGAATTTAAGTCTCCGGTGGAGTTCTGCAAGGACTGAAAAAAAAATGTTT